TGATCGTCGTCTGTATGGAGAAGGAGTTCTGCGGTCCTTGTCGTGTTTCGTGGAAGACCGAAATCGAGGAAGGGGAGAACGAGGTCGAACAGCACGGCGAGGAGAATGTCGACGATGATGTGGTTGTGCAGGAGGTCGACGAGAGCGTGATCGTGGAGCCCTGGATCGTGGTCTGTGCGCTGGCGATGTTGGAGCATGTAGGTGGTGAGGAGGAGAAGTGGCTGGGCCAGGTAGGATGCGATGGTCAGGAACTTCAGGTTCGGTGGGTCGTGCTTTGGGTGCAGGTGGAGGCATGGCCGTAGGTGGTGTGGTTGTTGTAGGTAATGGTGTAAGCGGTGTAGGGTCCGGTGCAGGTACATCGTGGTGAATAAGTAGCTGACGTTGTTCTTGGGCGCGTTGAGAATCCAGAATCATTTGTTGTTGAGCTTGAATAAGACGAACAGATTCGGCAAGTTGTTGTGTAGTGGAGCCCAGCGCTGCAAGTTCTGGTGAAATGGATGGAGACGGTGCTGCCGTTGGTGCCGGTGGTGTAGCAGGGGCAGAGGCTTTTGGAGCTGAACGACGTGGTTTGTCAGGTCTCTTGTCGGAGCGAAGCTTTGGGGCAGCCTTAACTGCCGGTAGTGGAGGTTCATCTGGAGGAACCATAGATGCTTCCGTCAATAGTGGAGGGTGAGGATGGCGAGGTGGGTATGGAGAGCTCTGCAATGGTGTCGGTGGAGTAGTCGTTGTAGGCGATGGAGCTGGAGCAGAATGCCATGTGGGTGGAGCGGTGGGTGCCGGAGGAGTAGTGAAGGTCGGTGGAGCGGTGTGCATCATAGTGGTTTCAGGGGCCAGAGGTGTGGGCATTGTCGGCACGATTTGAGGGGCTGGTACCGCATGAGGGGCCGAAGTCAGTGATGTAAATGGCAAAGATGGTGTGACTGACGTAGACGGCATGAGCGAAGACGACGAAGACCATGTAGGATGTAGTGGCGAAGGCTGTCCAAATAAATGCGCGTTCTGCGTTGATTGTGGCCACGTCGAAGATGGATTCGTAGGCTGCGGCGGGGCAGGCCATGACGTCGGAGGAGTAGTCCACGGGTACATTGCTCAGGTAAAGAAAAACTACAATGGAAAGTCACACAAAAGGATTTACCACAGGATTCAGCTCCTAAACCTACAGGTCGTGCGTTGTGCCAATCCAGGCCCGTAGTCCAGTCAGCCCCAAGGGCATAAGACGGCTTTCAAGTTCCAACGAATTAGGTGCACAATATGTTTCACCTCACCAGACAACCAAAAGGAAAAAGACCACACCTGAAAGACGTGTGCCTGCCTTTTCACAATGTCTTGAAATGATGTCATGTAGCTGCAAAGGTTGCTGCAAAAACGGAGGTTTCTGGTAGTTCGAAGTGGCTTCACTCAATAGAGATGCATTCCACTGGGTTCATAAAGGACAGCCGGAAACGCGGGACTTCACAAAAAAGGTGCAAAACGGAAAGGCCAACTGTTGTGATTTACTTAGACGAATTACTAAATTAAAATGTGATAATTCGGCAGTCAGGACAGTCGTCACTCACCCTAAAGAGGGTTGCCTCAAATGGCTCCATGGCACCATGTCGGAGCCACCATGGAAATCACACTAGATAAGAATGGATCATTATATGATCCGGAAGGAACTGAATCCTGAAACATGCAGATTAGATACGAACCAACGAAATTAACGATGCACCCTACGAATAATGGAAGTTCTCCTGAATGGTTTCCATGGCCAAGATCGTCATCAAAAAATTATATATCGGCGACGTGGTTTTGACAAAATAATCCAAATACATCGGCGACATGGTATCGGCGAGATAATCCAGAAAATCAAAAATACCGTCGGCGACATGGTTTCGGCGAAAAACTGAGGAAGGTTCTGATGCATAAAATACAGATTGTGGCAACCGTGGAGAAATAAAATCATGGTGTTGGGGTACTTGGCTTAGCCCCTCGCCATTCACACGCAATGATTGCAAAATAATGAATACGACAGCTTGTTCAACAGTTCAAAAAATCGCAGGTACGTTTTCACCCCCATGCTGTCTGGTCTTCGTTGGCCAGGACAGACAGTCATGGGTTCCTGGCCCCCTGCAAATGTGAGAAGATTAGAACAAAAGAAGTTTTACATCTGTTCAGATGTTACACACACACACGAAACGGCAATTTCCACCTTGCAAGATCTTGCAAGTAACGTTTTTCAGGAGTTCCATGTTGATTTTTCAGGGGTCTCACGATGGATCAATGGAGGCCAAGGATGACCAATAGGTGACGATGTGCTGGGCTTACCAACAAGAAATTCATCGAACATGGATACCTGACTAAAAATTATCATTATATACTCTGATCTTCATATCATATTAAAAATAAAGAAGATACATCATTGCATGTCAGTATCTTGGAACGCCACCGCCCGCAGCTGCTGCCCAGCCACGGCAAAATGGACGCTTCACAGCAAAGCAAAGCGACAGCTGGAGGAAGCGCATTGCTGGCCTCGGGAAGGAGCTGGGGCCATTGGACTTGGCAGTTTAGGATTGGGAACTTATTATTCATATAATATAAATATATAAATGTGTATATGTATATGTGTATGCGTGAAGTATATTATATGATATTATATGTATTTCTATAGGTTGGTTATAACTTACAACATCTTATAACTACACGTAATATATATATATACACGTATATTCTAAGTTGGTATGTTCCAACTGGAAATGGCGGATGTTCATGGAGTTTCTACTGCCATACATACTACGCAAAAGGCGAGGCAACTTTGCTCAACTGGGGTGGTTTTGGAATCTGGGATGCTTTGCCATTCGTCTGTTGTGCGGTTTAGGCAAGGCTTTCCGAAGAAGTGAAGCCATTTGGCCAAGATTCACATCAGGAAACCTGCCAAATCAGAATCTACATAGATCAAACATCAAAATCTATACATGGAATGTGGCCTATGATGTGTTATTCTTTTTTTTGTCTACATCTTCTTGCAACATAGATCAACATAGTACATAACGGGTTGACTTCAATAGCCAAAGGGGGCTATCACCCAATGGGGATTGAAAGACAAGCTGCGAAAAATGATGAGCACCAGGACCAGTGACCTGGCACAAGTTTTTCTGTGACCGCCATGTCCCAAAAAACAGGTCCTGATGAACGGTGCATTTTTGGGGTCAGTCTGGGTTGCTGAAATCCACAAAAGTCCAGCTGAAATCTGAAAAAATGAGAAAGGAGATGCATGGTCAACCTATGTTGAGCTTCGATGCTTCAAGATCTTGTTGGACGTTTATCCTCACAATCGGGGTTCAAGTCTTGAAAATCAAACTTCGCAGAGCTCTGACGCAAAATCGCATCTTGGCAGTCAAAACGCAGTCACAAAACCAAATGCCGTCTGTCCGCAGTCCAACAGCGAGAGCCTAAGGAAATGACATGGTTTTTGCGCATGCTTTCCGTGTTCAAACAACAGCTGGCAAATAGCTAGGGCCAAGTGAATTGGACCTTCTGCCAAAGTCAGCGCTTGGAATAACTGTTCCTATGAGACAGGCTCAATTCTAATTCTCTCTTGAAAAGGAAGGTTGTGCATATACATACCCAAGGATTAAAGATTCTGAACCTTCTTCCCAAACAAACAGCCGCGAGGTTTTTGAGCCTGGCAATTCCTGGATGCCATGGCCTTGGTTTTTGTTGGATCTGGCAATCCAACCCTCTACAAGAAACGGATGTAATGGGACAAAGCCAATGTCATATACCATCCCCAATTGGGGTTATTGATGGATGCATATGTGCCCATACGTGCCCCTGCTAGGAGGTACAATGACCGCACATGGTTGGTTCGTGGGGATGTTCTACAGTTCACCCAAACACAGCCCAAACACAGCCCTTGCAATGTCTTGCAAGCAAGCCGCTTGTGAGCCATAGAACTCTATCTTTGAGAGTTCATGACACAACATAGATGATATAATGCATATATATGATATATGATATATGATATTACATCCGGTACAGTCAATGATTGTAAATCAGCCAAAAACACAATGTTCATGGTAAACCAAAGGCTCAGTATTCTTCTCTTCATGAACTTTAGCCTGCCAAGAGCCCCCCCATATCTCATCATATATCAAATTATATCGATCAACATAAACCTGATTCCTATGTCACTCCTACTGCGGATATCGTGGGTCTCACAGGAACTTATCAGATCTCATCAGTTCTCTGATGCATCATACCGCTGTTACTGTTCTGTGTGCTGACGAAAGCCATAATTGCTGGGCCCCTGGATTCACAGCTGGGAGCCATTGAGAAAGTTCAACCATAGTATGAACAACATACGGAAGGTCACAAGATGTAATAAGTAAAACAAGCGACATGCACTTCAATTCTTTCAAGTTCATGACAAGAGTCCACTGCAATGGCTTCAGGTCTAGTCAAGAGCTCAGGTTGTGCCAAGTAGCTTCCTAAACAAACGCTTTCAAGCCACTCCCTGGAGACACAAAACGAAAAGAACTTCGTCCCTGCTGTTGCCTCCTTCTTGGACTGGCATACGCAGAGAGTTCTAGAGAAACAGAGCACCTCTCGGTGCAATATCTGCGAAAGGCCTTTCTCTGAGCATTCTGATCTCTCTTGCGCAAGCCTTTGGGAACTCCATGGGTTTTCTCATGTTTCAAATATGTTTCACACTATTCCAGCTCAGTGTCACTCAGTGTCACTGAGTGTCACTTGTCGCTCGAAAAAGCTGGATACACCCAAGGAATTCAGAGCATCTCCAGGCCATCTTGACCGGATCAGCTTTTTTTTCCAGGCAGCGTTGTGCCACAAATGCCACAGTGACAGGCAGTTAAAGAGGACATCAACCAAAGCGATTCATAGACTTCATAGACTCTAGTCACTATGACTCTAGTCACTATAGTCACTATAGTCACTATAGTCACTATAGTCCAGCTGTATAGGCTCTATATCATCATTCTTTCTAGTGATGCTAGTGGCACTCATCAACAACCCGGATCTTGTCCGCAGCCCCAGTAGTCTTGGTACTCCTTGATCCATCGCCCCAGAATTTCTTTCACTTCCTGGCCGAGTAGCGCCCTGGATTGAGAAACCGGAAGCTTACAGCAAGGGTAAAAGGAATCATACATAAAGATCGGCATGTCATGAAGTTTTGAAGAGATATGAAGAGCACCCTAAACATACCTAAACTGATATCAAAAGATTTGATTACAACAAGATTACGCAATTAAATCAAATCACAAATGACTTTCTGAAAGCAGAAATATTGCAAATTGATAGCTTTCTATTGATTCACCTTTGGGATTGCCAAGGGCTGCATCCAATCTCTGCGCTGTGACTTGCTTTTCCTGTCTTGACCGAAAACACATCAGAAATATGAAACATATATGACAAATGTGGACGAAAAAATATGACAGTATCTTCAGGACATCTGAAAACCAAGAAAACTCGAAGCCTCCAATCCCTTTAAGTCAATGGATCCCCAAGAAATCCAGAACACTCAGTTCCCATCGATCTCCAAGCGATCTCCAAGCGATGTCCAAGCGATCTCCAAGCGATCTCCAAGCACCCAACAGGGCTGTCAGGGCGGCCTGGAACAGTTTTTCCCGCAACGTTTCCGACATGGCGATCAACTTTGGAAGGCCTGGGGCTGCTTGGGCTTGGCCTTAAAACATGACACCCTGGAAGCCAACATGGAACTGAAAACTGGCCATGGCCACATCTAATTGGGGAAGTTTGGGTACCCTATTCTCCCTCCACTTGAAGCTGGGAGAGGCAAGCAAAAGCAAACATGAATGTACTTTCCAGTGGTGGAAGGAGCATGTACTTGCCGAACAATTGAGGCAGTTGCATGCTGTCTTGCATAGCTGCAGTTGTCAACTGTTGTGACTTTGGATGAAGACGATCCATCGTTTTTAAATAGAACAACAAAACCATACAAAACCAGCTGTCAGTGTAATGCTAATATCTGATCTTGACCCATAAGGCCTGACTGATCTGTCAGTTTCCCATCCATCTGACCCTGCCGCTGATCATTTTCATCGCGAGGGGTCCTGTCGTCTTGGACGTGTCAGGACTGGTCCGGGAGTCGTAAGCGGCCAAGGGGCCACAGCTGCAGCGGAAGTTTGAGTCAAAATCTTGAAATGTCTGCGTGACAACCATAAAGACATCATATATTATATCCCATAGGATCCATGGTGCTGCTATATATGGTGACATTTACCATCAATATACCCCAAATGTTAGCATATATACCAGCACCATGGATCCTATGGGTATGAAATTACAGACCATCTGGGGCCTAAGAATTTCGGGACTTGTTTCTTTTTGCTTCTTTAACATTCTTTAACCATCTTGACACCCCCAGGTCCGCCCACAGGCCGTTGGTGATGCCATGCCCTCTCGGGCATCTGCTCTCTCAAAAAATGTTGGTAGCACGCATAGTCGTATATATCTATATATAATTTATAGGCGGGATCTTCATCGCAAATATTGTCAATTGTTTTACTGATTTATATATATATATATATAGGTCCGTTTTGAAACTATCATTTTCTATCATTTATGATGTGTCATTTTTTATTATTCATTATTCATTTGGGGTCACGAATCCCAAATACTGTAATCCGATGTGTCCTTTTCTGGGAAAACAGCTCAGCTCAGCCAATGCGCCGCGAGAAGCATCATTTGCATCAACCAACTACCTCCCCATGCCGCGCATGAAGCTACCGTCGCTCGGTAGTCAGTGGGGAAGCCGCCACGGGAACAGTTGGACTCGTACTGCAAGAGCTGCGCGATGTAGGCGGAAGTAAATCCTCGCTGGGTTATGGTCATCCAATCAGGAATCCTGATGCTGGGTATATTAAATCCCTATTAATGGGTTGATGACCCATCGCTTTGATATGCACAATCCAACTGTTGACCATGGCTCACATGGAATCTGGACATCATGTGGATCAAGAGTTGGAGTCTAGAGATGCCAATGCCAGCCCTCCCTGGAAGGCAAGGAGAACCCCAAGAACATCACCATCATCACCAATATCACCATAATCACGTTTTTGCCAAATCTGTTGGCTTTGGGATTTCTCTTGCTTGCGTCTTTCCCCCAAGCTCCAGCTCTCCCAGGGCATCTTGGGGCGGGACCAAAAGTGTCCTTTGATGACGGGAATTATATAATTCATGAGACAGTTTCACCTACCATCTGCCATCGGTTGCAGTATTGAATCCGTACTGCTTCTTCAACTTGGGGTTCCCCCAACGAAAATCCATCAAGCAGTGGTAAAAGGATTTCTTAGTGACTTAGTGTCTCAAAGCCCAAGGATCCTTGAAAGGACTCCTCGCTGCAGTCCTTACTCGCCTCACAGAAGGGCTGTGGGCATGTGGAAAGGCCTCGCCTGCACCTCCCGACTTTAAGCCCAAGAAACTGGCTGTAACTTTTGTGGATTTCTGTGGGTTTCCTATGAGTCCTTCAAGTTATCAAGGTGATCATTCAGCAAGGTTTTCTTTCCAGGATCTCATCCTGACCCCTGCCTCAAAGCATTTCAAAGTACCCATCCTCAGCACAGCTTCTAAAGGTTGGCTCTAGTGGTCAAGGGAGGGGTTTTGGGGTTTCCTTTCCCAATGAGTCTTTCTCTCACGAGTTTTTCGACTCATGAACATCATGTTTGGACAACTTTTGGCAACTCACTCCCTGGAGTTTCCATCCAGTCAATCTCATTGTGAATCATGTGTTTTGCAGTGATGTCTTGCAAAGCAAGAAGAGGCGGCAACTAATCCTCACTTGCGGTCTATACTGACACCCCGATCCTCGTCAAATGATCCTTGAAAGAGCAAGCAAGGTGTTTGTTCTTACATGTCATGATTCATTACCCATAGGATCCATGGTGCTGCTATATATGGTGACATTTACCATCAATATACCCCAGTCATGATAGCATATATACCAGCACCATGGATCCTATGGGTTAAGCTTTCTTAGCATCCATCATAGGTTTAATATGGTGCAATGACTTCTCTCCAGTGACCAACTTGTTGCCGAGGCCAAGCGAAACACATTTATCAAAAAAATCGGAAAGCCAGTTCCTGGGCTTCAACCCCTTCCCCTGCAGTACATGTGCCATCTATATATATATACAGTATATATATACATATGCACAGTATATATTTCATTTATCTTAACTCTTGGATTCAACGACTCCCAGGTTCCCATGACTTTCACCACCAAGGCGCATGGGACACAGCACCGGCATATACTTCTCCGGCTCCGGACTGGCGAAGCCCTCCGTGGCGAAGGCTTCGTAGACGCGTGGCAAATGTGGACACGCCAAACAGGCGCAGTCCAAGGCGGGCACGGCCACCTGTCATCAAAAATTTCTTAGAAACAGGCATTTTCATGGAAAATCATGGAAAATCCATGAAGAATGGGGATTTTCCATTGCCATGTTTGATTACCAGAGGGTAAATGGGTAAGGAGTTAAGGAAAATCTACAGGGCATTTCCATGCATTTCCGTGTCAATACGTTTCCTTTAGGGCTGTCCAATAAGTGAATGGGGTCAAGATGAAGGGCCCGTAAATTCCTCAAAAAGGCTACCAGTTTGGTCGCTGAAATGTGCATAATAAACTGAGCACGGTATTATATACAATTATATATATATATATATGTGTGTGTGTGTGTGAGTATTTTTATATGTATATATACAGAGTATTATCTTTCTTTCTCTCTCTCTATCTTTTGTGTCCTATGCTTATGATGAACATTCTGTCTGCCCACTGCCAATTAAAAGATAAAAACACATGCTATGATTTCTGATGGATGGCCAGATCAGAGGCTGCAAGTCAAGTCGCCTAGTTGCAAGCCACAGTTCCCCCGGGGAGCTTATAATTTGCCGCATGTTGTGGCTTTGTTCAACTTAGTATCTTCCACTTCAATGAGACAAACATCATTTGACGTTGCTTGGTTCAGCCACTGCCAGCTCCCCAAATATCTTCGGAAGGTACGGCCAGAGTAGGTCGTTCACCACTGGGCAATGCCAAAAGCGAACCTCACCATGTGAGTTGATGCGGCTGCGACAGTTACTGACAGTAACAACAAGTTGATTTTGAACCAACAAACAAATGTGACTTGCAATCGTGCAAACAGTGAGTTAATCAAAAGTGAGGTAGTACTAAGGTGACCAGTCATGTGGACATTTAAGGGATGTGTGTCACTCTGGTACAGCTAGTCATTCAACATCACAGCTGGTTGTTTTTTTTAAATTATTTTTTGTTGGTACTTCCCTCCCAAGGGGCGGTAACCCTTCACCGGGTCCCTTCCAACTGTTCACATGTGACGACCTCGTCCTGACTGTCCAGTGCCAAACTTTCAAAGGATATACTGCAATACACTGAACCCTGGTGGGAAAACCTCAAGTTGAACAATAGTTGGGCACCTGCTTCTCAGCCAAACATCCCCAAACCAAACTTATCACTTGAGAACGGCAGCAAACAGTAATCCTCTCCACACTTGCCAGAGTTCATCATCGCCCGCAGCTGTCCCCCATCCAAAATGCAAGGAACAGAGTGGTCCAGCAGAAAAAGCGCAGTCAAAAGATGCCTTGTGCATGCAAAATGCATCAATGGACATGGCCTCGGATGCTTCGCCATGGCCCAACATCTAGATGGGGAGATGGGTCAAAATCGTCAAAATTATCAGTGACCATCCCCAAAAGTCGATTGGTGAGTCCATTGGTATCCCAATTTTGCCGGCATGTGGGCACTGGGCCACTGGGGAAGGGAGCACCTTGCAATCACCTGATGGGTCAAATGCTCCGAAAGAGGAAGGCTGAACCATTGTCTGTACACCAAAGTGAATGACAGAGTCACGAAAAAAATGAGGATTGGAAAGTTTCATCCGATTTTTTTTCAATTACCCTCTTGAAATTTAACATAGCCATGGACAATTGCCCATTTATAGATGGTTTACCTATTAAACATGATGATTTTCCATGGCTATGTTAAGTAACCAAATGGTACTTGTTATTGAAATTACATGACTTGAGGATTTGATGCTATGACTGATGGGAAAAAACATTTTTTTCAGTTTTAACTAGCAACTAAAATGCGTAAATCAAAGCCCAAAAGACTGCTATCCAATTTTGTTGGGCTAGGTTGCATCGCCAAGATACCGCTATCAGGTTGGAATTCAACCCGGCAGTGCTAGATGACACATTCTCCTGGTATATTGCGCTGAACATAGATGGGCTGAGGGTTCTCCTGGGGTGTTTGATCCTGACCTGCAGCTGACTGGAAATTCCGCATCTGAGGTGGTTTGGAAAGTCTTTCAAGTTTTTGTGAACACTCTAGGGGACCGGTCAAGCCATTTCCGGGTCATACAGATATGAATGGTCCATCACTCTCCATTGTGAATCTGCAACCATTGCGACACAATGGACCATTGTGGGTACTTTCTTGCGGGGAATCTACAAGTATATAATTCGTCCGGTCAACCCCATGTAGATTTCTTCAAATCCATCAAAACATTAGGTTGACTCAAGCAAATTATTGATTCCCTGAATCTCCGTGTTCTCGTATGTTCTCATCTCTCTCCCTCCGCCATCCCAGAGGTTCAGTCAGCAGGCTGAGGGTGAGCAGGTGGCCCCGCTAGACGGAGCCACAACTAAAGTAACTACAACAATCGGGCGAGAGGCTCACTTTGGGCATAAAATGGGCTCACTTGGGGCATAACTGGGATCACTTGGGGCATAAATGGACTCACTTTCGGGATAAATGGGATCACTGTGGGCATAAAGAGACAAGTAAGGCTTTATATCTTGCGCTTCATGTAAGAACTTTCACGACACCCTTAGGCTCTATAAGTTGTGGCACTTCAAACAAGAAAGGCCACGACACCTTTATATGTTGTTGCGCTGAATATAAAAAGAAGGGCAACGACACCTTTAGGGTTTATATGTTGTTGCACTTAAGACAAGAAGCGCCAGGACACCTTTAGGGTTTATATGTTGTTGCACTTAATGTAAGAAGAGCCACGGCGCCTTTAGGGTTTATATGTTGGTGCACTTAATATAAGAAGGGCCACGGCACCTTTAGGGTTTATAATATGTTCTTGCACTTTATGTAAGAAGGGCCACGGCACCTTTAGCAAAAAACATCAAAAAACACTTCCTTTCAACACCGTTCCCTTTCGAGTATACGATGTTTTCTCCTGCCATCTTTCTATGATCCTGTGATCTCGCGTAACCCACATCGAAATGTCATGTTTCGAAAGATTCTTAACCAGTTTATGCCAATCAGTACAGACATCAGTACAAAAAAATACAAACTGATTTCTTCGAGTAATCCCCACCTTGGACATCCTATTTGACATACATTGCGATCTTACATATACTACCCCAACCAGGCACCCAGTAGCATACCCATGAAGTGAACGATACACGCCCAGCACAGTTGCATCTTGATGCGCCATGCAAAGTTGAGTAATCCCCACCTTGGACATCCTATCTGACATACAACATTGTGGCATTCTAGTTGACATTCCAATTAGAATTCTAACTTATTCTGTCATACCACATAATGACATAAGCGCAACATCATCCGTGACCGCGTGAACACACATACCAGGCACCCGACCGCAGACCGACATGCGCCATATTAAGTGAACGAACCATAACATCCAGGTACCGAATCACGCCCAGCACAGTTGCATTTAGATGCGCCGTATATTCGGTCAACTAATGAGACAATGAACTCAACGAGACACGAAGAGCACAGTTGCTTTTAGATACGCCGTGAAAAGTTAAGGCATCACAGAATGAAGTGAACGAGACACGCCCTGCACAGTTGCACTGTGGCACGCCATAATATGTTCTCGCTCTTGCGCTGAGCCCTACACGGTGGCGATGTATCCACTTTACGCCCCAAGCGAGACCAAATTTGCGCCCCAAGCGAAACCAAATTTACGCCCCAAGCGAGCCAAAATTTACGCCCTAAGCCCTAAGCGAACCTTCGCCCAACAATACATGCCAGAAACCGCACAAACAAGTTCCAGAGAAGAACATGATCAAAAGGAAAAAACGATTCATTTCCCCATATTTTCATACATGTTCTCAATAACATGCGACATGTTGGGAGCATCCCGCCCCATTTCAGGCCCATTTCAGCCGCTGCGTCAGTATATTCGAAGGCATCTGCCAGTGCAGGGCAGGCTGTAGCGCAGCCTGTGCTGATTTTGCTCGCCGCAGGGAAGTCCTCAGCGGCTATTGTTGGGGGGTTACCGTTGGTGGGACGTGACAACCAGGATGCTTTGACTTAGAATTATCTATGTTTGGGTGCGATTGCCTGGGCGCCTTTATTGCTGGTGGCTTCATCCCGTCCCCAATTGCAGCGAAGTAGGCATCATGGAAACTACTGGAAGCCTGGTACCTGGTTGCACTCATCATCCAAACCTAAAGCGGCCTGTCAACTGGAATCATATTCCAATTCTCTAGGACGGAGACTCGGGTAAAATGTTGCATTTACACATCGTTTTGGCTTGGAGTGGAGGACTGCATTCATGGGATATTGCCAGCGGTCAACATATGGTATGTCTTGGCAACGGTGCTGTGGGATGCGCAGCCACATCAACTCACACAAGAATGTAATCCCATCCCCTTGATATTAAACATCCCTCAAAAACCATGGTTCAGTTCAGTTCAGAAGTTTTTTTTCTCCATCTACTTGGAACATCTTGGAACTGCTTAGTAAAGTGTGTTCAATATTAGGGTGATGGGATTAAGGCAGCATCAATGGTTGAATTCCAACTGCCATTTTTCCATCCACCAGGAGAAACTGTTACCCAAGACATCCCAAGACTCTGTGGCGTAGCCGCCTTGCACACAATCACTTTCTCTCTTCAGGAACTCCTCAAATGAGGTGCCAAGCGTGCCGTTCGTGAGGGCAGCACATGCCGAACTGCTCGTCACCTCAATCTTTGTTGTGGTATGAGGCTTCCCCCATGCACCCCCCAAGTATCCCAGACGGTTTCACTTGGTTTGCGTGGTAGAATTCCCAAAACGGACTGCAGTCCCGAAGCAAACAGTTGCTTCTTCAACTGTAGAACCAAATCAGTGCACAGCAACAGTTTGTAGAGATATCAAGAGACAACTAGCTGGCTTGAAAATAGGCTACCCCTCACCCCAATACCCCAATAGTGTCGATCATGAGATATCATGAGATATCATCAGTGTCCTCATTTTTCAATGGCCTTTTTTAATTGGGGCTATCCCATAGGATCCATGTATACTATATATGGTAACATTTACCATCAATATACCCCAAATGTTAGCATAGATACCATACATGGATCCTATGGGTATAGCTAGTGGCACTAGTGGCTCCTGGCGCCGTGGCACGCATTTCAGGCTCTGCATCATTGGGCACACCGCCTCCATGGTCTGTCCCTGGAGAACATCTGCCAGGCCTCGAAACATGTCCATTTCTTTCGAACATGTCCAGGGCAACAATTTCTAGGCACACTCCGTTTTATCATGTTTTGATCATGTTTTGATCATGTTTTGATCATGTTTTGATCATGTTTTGATCATGTTTTGATCATGTTTTGATCATGTGTTGATCATGTTTTGATCATGTTTTGATCATGTTTTGATCATGTTTTGATCATGTTTTGATCATGTGTTGATCATGTTTTGATCATGTTTTGATCATGTTTTGATCATGTTTTGATCATGTTTTGATCATGTTTTGATCATGTTTTGATCATGTTTTGATCATGTTTTGATCATGTTTTGATCATGTTTTGATCATGTGTTGATCATGTGTTGATCATGTTTTGATCATGTTTTGATCATGTTTTGATCATGTTGTAATGTTGTCTAGCCAATAGTGATATCTTGGCAATAGTAGAAGCCTTTTTTTCCCAACTCCAGTTTTATCTCCAATGCTAAAAGTCAATGAGCTTATATAATTTAATTTTATTATTGCCAAAAAACTCATGTTCTGACCTTGTCCAAAGGGCATGGCCAATAGTGGATCCAACATGGCAATAGTGGAAACTTTTTTTTCCCAACTCTAGGTTTATCTCCAATACTAAAAGTTAATTAGCCTAATTTAATTTTATTATTGCCAAAAAACTAATGTTCTGACCTTGTCCAGAGGGCATGGTATAGTATCCAGACAGATTCCAAGAAGAGCTAAAAGGAATTTACTATTGGAATGCTGACCCCCCTAAAAAAAAACAGAAATTAGGGGGGGGTTATTATTAGGCAACCAACATTATCTGTGTTCCTGACACCTTACTTTGGCTGCATCGATATCGCCTATTCAAGGCCTATTCCAAAAGAAGTCTTGAACCTGTCATATGCGGAATTGTAAATCCCGGGCAAGCCAAATGCACCGTAACAACGTTTGCAGCACGAAATGCCCCACCACTGGAGTTTTTTCGTTGGCTCAAGCAACAGTTACGGGGACCCTCAGGGAATGCAAACACATGCGGTTAAACGGTTAAACACCTGTAAAACCCAACGGGTTCAAAATCATGGTTTCCCGGTCTATCCTGGTTGGATTTTGCTCACAAACATGCCGCCAACGTTGCCACTATAGATGCGCGGGTAGCTGGGGCAAGCGTCACACACGCAGTTCAGAGTAGTCACCAAATCCTGAGCGATGGTCCCGGATAATATCATTGGGATGAACGAACACATTTAGTGCTGACTGGTATAACTGGTGATATCATCATTTAATGTCACTTCATGACCTTGGGGGTCATCATCCCAGTTATACCATTGCACCAAGATTCATCTTCACCACCCAAGACGGCGATGCAGTCCTGGAGCTTCAAAAATTGCGATTTGTCTAAGACTGTAAGGATCAAAGGTGGCAGTGTTCCTCAGATCGTTCATCTACGACAAACAAAAACTACCTATTTTGGGTCGAATAGTTGTGGCCCATGACCTCTCCTGATTCTGGACTCCGCACGCAATGGCGCCGCGATTGGCGCAGTATGCTGCGAAGAGCTCAGTGAAAGCCTGCCGTTGACTAAAGGAACCATTGTCTGGAGGAAGTTCAGCATGTTTTTGTTGTTTTTCATGGAGGAATTTCGTGTCGAAGAGGATCATGTTTCCCCGCCACGTCCATGGCATACCTGGGTGGGATGCTATCCGGGGTATCTTTCACCATCTTCCAAGCGAGATTGCATGAGTGGCATCCTTTGGCCGCCATTTTGTGTTGAGATCTTCAGCATCGGAGGCTAGCAATCTTTTCTGAGTTTGGCGTTGGTGCTCGGTCTAACATGGTTTAACCTTCAAGGGTTCAAGGGGGGAAACACGCTAATTCCATCCATTTTTTCGCGTCTCACCCTAATTGTTTCGTTTTCCTTGTGCTCTGTGATGGTTTTACCAATCATTTAACCCCAATTGTTGATGCTTAGGTTAAATCACAATGCATCCAATTGTCTACCAATATTGGAATTTCCAAAATGTTTTCCAACAGGTTAAATCCAAAAAAACATCTGGCCCAGCCGCATGCAGCTGCTCAGTTTCCGCCCTGGAGGTCGCCGCTTCCTGAGGGAAATCTGGAGTCAATGGGTTGACTCACTGGTGATCTGGTGCTTAGTAGGGACTGAGGGAATGGAATGATTGTTTATAGTTATTATATATATATATATCATGTCCCATTCCCTACTCCTTAAATGGACATTTAAATGCGTGCATATTTTTTTGTTTTTTTCAGTCTGGGGCACTTTCTTTGCTATTTGCTACATTTTGGAGCAGAAACCTGTACTGTGCTGAATCTTGAAGCTAAAATTTGCCATTTGCACTGTTCATCGATTGTTGAAGCACCACCGTGTTGGGTCTAAATAGTGGCATTGGATGCTATCATAGTGTTGGGTGGTCTAAATTGGTCTAAGGTTTATTTAGGGTTGGTTTAGGGTCAATCAGGATTGGTTTAGGGCTTAGGGTTTATTTAGGGTTATTTAGGGTTGGTTTAAGGTTTATTTAGGGTTGGTCTAGGGTTTATTTAGGGTTGGTTTGGTTTTTTTTTTAGGGTTATTTAGGTTTGGCTTAGATTTATTTAGGATTGGTTAAGTTTTTTTAGGGTTATTTAAGGCTATTTAGGGTTTTTAAGGGGTGGTTTAGGGTCTATTTAAAATCTTTTGAGGGTTGGATTAAAGTACATCTAGAAATACAAGGTGTGTATATATATATAGATAGATGGATAGGTAGATAGATAGATAGATAGGTAGATAGATAGATAGATAGATAGTTAGATAGATAGATGGATAGATCGATCGGTAGATAGATAGATAGATTAGATAGATTAGATAGATTAGATAGATTAGATAGATTAGATTAGATTAGATTAGATTTAAGATTAAGATTAAGATTAGATTAGGTTAGATTAGATTAGATAGATAGGTAAAGCATGGTAAAGCCACAAAAGCCACACACACATACACGCACACACACACGCCGACCCACAAAAGCCACAGAAGCCACAAAGCCAGGCTGGAAAACATTAAACAAGAAAAACTCCCCCCAAAAAAAGCCATCCTATTTAAATTATGATAAATTATGTCTATTCGGTTCGGGCTGCTTCATGTACATATCCTACATTCTCCCCTGAATGGGATGGATTGAACAGGGGTTTGGTCATCCCCTGCCGCTGGAAACATGGATAGAATGATAGATGTATCTGTATATAGTAACTCCCGCAAAAATGTAAACCCATATTTCCAGGATGGTATACTAATATCATATATAGTATCATATGTAGAATGATTCTCCCATAGTTTCCAAGCGTCCAACTTTTCTACCTATTTGTTGGTTGCTGTACCTGCACCAACTGAATCTTCGTACAAATCTCCCCTCCCCAACTGCTCCGAGGTTCCATATCCCCATATGCCTTTTGCATGCTGGGACATGCTGCAGAACACGAAGAGCTGAGGGGTGCCATAGTGGCCTGCCAGCTGCAGATCTGCCCCTGTCTCTGAGATATGAAGCATCACCAAACACTTTTTTGGTCGTGCCCCTTCTGAATTTATTGCTTTATAAACTTATAAACCCCAGTAACTGAAGATATATCTACCATAAACATCAGTAAATAAACCCAGTAGTTTATATATATATATATATATGGAGATGTATAAATAAAAATTGCAGTCTTTCTCAACCAACTTAGCCAACTGTTGTGGCCAGGTGGCACTTTGCATCCGCCGTGGCAACTGGTCACTCAGCTCAAGCAATTTATGCTGAAAGCTCTGGATGGACAATGGCTCGGCATGAGATACCACCTGGGCTCGTACAAATGCAAGATTCACACTAATGTGACTGTATATGACGTCATATTCTATATGATACAAATAGACTATTTATAGTATATGGATATAATATCCATGTATTATATATAAATACGTATATATATATAATTATATATATATATATATATTATATGACATTAACATCTCCAGCTTTGAGTGCATACCGCCCCAAAATCACTGCAAAGGGAAAAGTCAAAAGGTGAGAATCTGGAAATAATTGGAAGCCAAAATTGGCAGCCAACCATGCCAAGAGTTGGCGCTCGCATGCAGCTGCGCAAAGGAAACTTCCTCTTGCAGGTCAGGCACGAAGAGGACCCATAATATGCTCATCGTCATCCAGCACAATCAAGCCATCCGCGCTCGCTGGCACACATGTTTCTGATGCCAGCGTTGAAAGCTCAAGCTTGAGCAAACATATAACGCAACAAAAGAACAACACAACCTCCTGCCCAAAACAAGATTGAACAAAATGGTACGACATAAATCGACATGACGTAAAATGTCAATTATAATATATATGATATAAATGCACAACTTGCTCATACCCAACAAAAAGACTTTCCATGAGTTTCACCAACCTTGCTATAGCTGCTAGCTTAAACTATAAAAATCAAAATTAAAGAATCTGGCCCTGAGACGCGTGTGACAAAACAAAACCTTGTGAAAAGAACACCCTGTTCCTTGCATGCTGCAACGTGATGTAACCAACTCCGGCTTGGGACCTGTCTCACTTTGGGGATATCCGGGATACAGCCAAAATAAGCAGGCAAGTTGAACTCAACGGGTTGTCGCCCAGGGTCCCTCTTCTCCCGTAATTCAGATTTTGCACACTAGCTTCGAATCATCGATGATTCCGAAGAAACTCAGAAGGAAGACTTTGCCCTTCTGTCTTGGGTGATGAATGCACATTTCATGATTACCATACCGACCAAAAATGCTGCCACTGGCAACATGTGGCCATAGATTCTGACGCCGACTGGTTGGTGGTTTCAACCCCCCGGCATAAAAAAGATCAACTGGGATTATTCTTCGAAACAGAAATGAGACATTGGAACACGAAGAACCTTGACGAACAGCACCATCCAGAGGATTTGTACGTTCATTTGCCTGTCTACAGTCTATATAGTGAACAGGGGAAGGAGATGGCAGCAGTTGTGATGTTGATCAATGTTGGTCAAACCTGTGTGGAACAAGGTCAAGGAAGAGGGTAACAGGTTACAATGTGGTGCAAAACGTCAGCTCGACACTTCAAAGATTGATGCATCTCAAACCCTTGAAGTGCCTCATCACCCGTATTTCGTTAGCAAGCACGACTATGTCTGGAATCTGGCGCACCTGAAAATTAATTTGGCCTGTGGCTGTTGAGTCTAGTCCTTTGAAAAACAAGTGCCCTAAGGCCCTGATCACACAATTTTAGCCCTTTCAGATCTATAATTAGGCAGTATGGTTGGAGTAGAAATGACTAAAACACACTTAATCAAATCCCGATGAATCCTGGCTCGCGACAAACCGGCAAACCCTGACCCTTCACTTTGGAAGGTACAGTAGGAGCAGGATCAGCGGCAGTGTAGCACTGCATGCGCGCTTCGCGAAATCGCTTTTGGTTCCTCGGCATGCCATGTTGGGCCAATCATGGTCCAATCATTCCATCTGGATATTTGCTGGCAGGTCATCTGTGTTAGCCTTCCTGGTTTTCTTATCAATATTCTTCAATCTTCCATAGCTAGCAGCTAGGTGGAAGTGACGCACTTCATCCACCAAGCATATCGATCCCAAGAACACAGAGTCCGACCTAAGTAAGACACGTCGTTGTCACCATTTTTTTTAGGGTGAATCCCGGTCACTTTTTGATGCCCCTGGCACCATTGGGACCATCACACCAAAACAAGCTTCCTCCTATGGAGTAGCCTTCTTGGGTGCAAGTAGATTCCATCTGCGTGAAGTTGGTGAAAAGCGGCCCGCTTTGCCCTGGTGTGACAGGAGAGTGAGGTCAACAACATCGGCTTCATGCAGAACTCGAACATCACTGGGGTATAATATGGTTAAGGGATGTTATTGGCCACCTAATTAATGGCTGGGATGCACCCCCAAGCAGTCTGTAATCATGACGCTACCAGGTCATGTGCCGTCCAAGCATGTAAGATTCTAAATTGCAAACATTCTCAGACTCTGAGCCACTACCCGTGCGCAGGGGTCCTTGCACTATCTTCGAACATTCCTTAGTTAAATGCGAGTCCAAACTTTGAACAGCGTGCACCGCTTCGCAGCATCTGCCGTTTGCAACCCCTGAGTTGGTTGAAACAAAATCTCACGCTGGCGTCAAAAATTACACATGAGGACACTGTAGCTAGCAACCGCAAACGGGAAACATAGGGAAACCATGAAGCCTTCCATAACGCAAGACGCAAATCCTGGATGCCAAGAGATGCCAAGAGGCCGAGTTTTCGGTGACACACTTCATGGATGTGATCCTGGTCGCCACAGGGTAACCATGGATAACCACCTTCCAATAACCCCAAGAATGCAGTTCACATGCGCTGACATGTGCAGATCGAGTTTCAAATCTTTCAATACCGCGAGACCGGTCCAGATTGGAGCGCTATAAATCGCTATAGATTTAAGGATAAACATCCCCATGTCACCAAGAATCTGCGGACACATTGATGTGTACAAATCCGTCATGGCTGTATCACTTCCAGTCTGCCTCGGTTGGGGCGCGTGGGATCTCCTGCTGAGCTATGAAAGGATGCACCGCTGATTGCAACTTTGGCCCTGGAGGTCCCTGGCACCTCCAAACATGAAAAAAACTGATAGGTCTTCTAGGATCTTCTAGGTAGATAATGGAAGACAATGGATGATAATGGTAGATGAATAGATGAGAAATGAGAATCCTAGATCCTGGTGGATCCGGACTTCCATGGACTCCTGCCAGCACATCTGGAGATATCTGGAGCTGGTCATGAGCATTTCAAGGCACAGCAGTGCTGTGAACCCATCGAGGCTGCTGTAGATCAGCGGAAAGTCGGTGCAAACCTGGGTCAGTGGCAGTGGTTTTCTGGGTGATTGCTGCTGCTTTGATCTTATAAGTTTGCGCCTGCACGTTCCTAGAACCACTTCATACGGCAAAAACAACGGCACAGTAATTTTCATGTCTTTTGCAAGAGCTGATTCAACGTAAGCTGCGGAGCAAAGCCGCAGCCATGGGCCGCAGCCGGATTCAGCCGGGGAACGGTGCAAAAGCAATCCAAAGAGCCCAGCAAGTCACCAACCTAAACTGACGTCGGACTGATTTGGGGCGCCAGGCACCAGCAAGAGTGGCTCGACCAAAAGGGGGCCAAATAAGAGGATTCTCGAGAGCATCACAAAATATCACAAAATTCACAAAACCATCAGCAACTTCACGCGGCGGCAGGAGAGTCTGACAACTGATTCTCATACGGTTGTGCCACGAATCAGGTTCTTGAACTGACAGAGCTATACCTCAAATTGCCCACCTTGCAGAACTCCAACCTGACACAACCTGACCATTGAACATCCCAAGTACCGACTTCTCTTCCATCCCATGGCCCCATGGTCCCAATGTTTTCTTCGAACAGTGTCCTCCATCCTCACCAATTCATCCCAAGAGTCTGCAGTGGATGTGATGACTTCGCATGCTGTGCCACTCTCCACTGCGCATTGAAACGCAGCTCGGTGGGCGCAAAGCAAGGCGAAGAGATCCTGCGCCGCCTGGGTGGAACGTATTGGATCTAAGGTCATGACTTGGCTCCCCATTTCCCCATATGCGGGGTATTAAATATATTCATAATACGTGTGCATGTGTGTATGTATATATATATATATTTATTTATTTATTTAACTTGTAGTTCATTATTATACAGTAATGGATGATTCTTCAACCTCCCACGGGCCGTGGGCACACCACGCCTGTTCTGAGGTTTGACTGTTCGCAGCAGTGATGGCAGTGGCCAGTTGATCAGCAGCTGCTTCCATGGACGGACATGCGCTGGTACAACTTGTTGGCAACGTCGGCATCTTGGTGCGATTCCGAGCAGGGTTTGGGCTCAAACAACCAGCATGACGCAGGTGTGTTCTGCAGAGATGGCGCTGCAAATACATGTCAAAACAGCTATGCGAAAGGAAATCGCTCCTCGGATCATTCCAGCCTTCCAGCCCAAGCAGTGAGGAGGGTCTGAGTCTAAATTTAGGGTTCTGCAAACAGACCGTATTTTCTGGGGTCATTTAAGGGTATCCGCCCAAGCAGGGTTTAGCCAAAAAGCTTGCAAGCGCCGAAAGATATGCACCTCAGAAAGGTCGTGGTCAGCCCAGTGCCCTAAACCACTGTCCCCTTTTCTTGGATTCCACCAAATGGCAAAATTAGGGGGCCAATAGGGTATCTCTCTCCATCGCCATCTGATCAATAGATGTCAATAGGGTATGTATGGTTCATTTTGCGTTTACCACGTCGCACTTGGACATGTCTTGGGCTATTCTAGCTCGTGCTCCTCTATACAAGTATCAATTATCTCTGATATGGAAGCACATACGCAATATCTTGTTCGGTTCGCTTGGATTCTGGATCGCTTCCAACTTGTCTCACCGGGTATTGACACAACAAAGGAATGGTCAAATGTAACCTTGAAGCAATACACTGAATGCTGGAGAAATGACATCGCCCAAAATAGAACACATGTTAAATATGGTTTAATAATGTTTAATATTGTTAAATTGTGTCGACAACCTCTTCCTCTTAATTATTTCCGGAAAGTGTTTCAATGTCACTACCGTTGTCCACTACTGTATCCCAAATTCACCTTACAATGATCGCACTCCTCAGTGTTGCTTCCACAAAAGAAAAACTGCTGGCAAATGCCGGGACCCGTTTCAATGGCCACGTTTTACTGACGATCCCGCACAAGCACGGTCGTTCTGTTCACACAGCTGGCATCGCCAGGGATATACCCAGCTGTCGCATTCCCGAATGCAACTGAGGAATCTGAATCTCGTTCGTGCTTTCAACCCACTGGACAAGAGGAAAAAATACAACTTGGTCTTGAAATGGGCTGATCATCCCAGGTTTGAGAATAACACAATAAACCACAACTCCATATGGAGATATCTTTGATATAACATGATATATGGTCAGTGCCGGAATTATAGAACGGAAGTTGAGGAGTACGAAGGTACGGTTATTTACCGTACCCTGTTGTTCTATAATTCTGTTTTCCTCGGAAGGTGTGAAAAAAAAACGTATCTGAATTTACTCCTAACTTTTTTCGTCGTTCTATAATTCTTGTCGGAGCGCTGCTGTTCTATAATTCTGTTTTCCCCCATTTTTCTCGCATTTCCCATTTTCGTTCTATAATTAATGTTTCCCGGGCCCCATTCTATAATTAATTTTTCCGTCGAACGGAAAAATTAATTATAGAACGGAAAAATTAATTATAGAATTATAGAACCTCTTCCGGGGTCCCAGAAATCCTACAAAATCACCATGAAATCTAAGAAAATCACCGTGAAATCCCATAAAATCACCATGAAATCCCATAAAATCACCATGAAATCCCATAAAATCACCATGAAATCCCATAAAATCACCATGAAATCTAAGAAAATCACCTGGTATATGTGGGAAAAATGGGGGAAAACAGAATTATAGAACGGAAGTTGAGGAGTACGAAGGTACGGTTATTTACCGTACCCTGTTGTTCTATAATTCTGTTTTCCTTGGAAGGTATGAAAAAAACGTATCTGAATTTACTCATTAAATCTTCATTTTATAGATTGAATATGTACAAATATGCAGTAAATATGAAGTCAGTGCCAGAAATTATAGAACGGGGAAATTTAATTATAGAACGGGGAAATTTAATTATAGAACAGATCCCCGTTCTATAATTAAATTTCCCGACTCCGTGCGGAATCGGAACCCGCAGGAGTACAAAGGTACGGTATTTTACCGTACTTTTGTACTCCTGGCTCCGTTCTATAATTCTGGCACTGACTGTAACCCTATAAAAAAAGGAATGATTGCCTAGCTCAAGTGCCTACGAGGTCCCCCTGATCTGCCATGGTGCCAAGTTTGTCGTGGACGCAGGAGCAATCTCCCCTCTCGCCATGCTGGCAAAGGCCTCGGTTCATGGGCGAGGGTCGCCGCTGGGAACCCATGGCCAAGAATCCAAGATCATCACATATATATAATATATCACACATATATATATAAATATAATATATACAGTATACATATTATGCAATATATATATAATTTATATGTTATATACTATAATAATTATAATATATAATATACTTAGTCATTGGTATTGACCACTAATGACCACTGTATAGGGATCAAAATCAAGATCCCATGGCAACCACAGCCAAGCCGCTGAAACGAGAAAAACCGTCCTCATCTCCGGGTCACCACGATCCCCGGGGCGGGGGAATGTCCCCGGGGGCCGCTTGAACTGCAACAGCTACGTCGGTCGGAGATCTTTGGAAATGTCCTTTGCAGATCTTTGCAGTAAGTGGAGGTTTTAGTGGGAAAATCACACACGCACACACACACATATATATATATAATGAAATTTAATATATATATATATATATATAGAATTATAGTCAAATTATAGTAATATGTAACAAATAATACATATGAATGTGGTACCTACCGGGTACCACAGGTCTCATGTTGCTTCGCTGATGGCCCTTCCGCTCCAGAGATTTCCAGCCTTCACCCGTCCGAACGCGGCGTTTCTCCTTCACTTCTAAGGGCCATGAGAGGCCATCCCCAGGAATCTCCTGCGACATCCAAATTGACCAAATTGGGGGTCCAAAATGGGGAAACCATGGGAAACCCTGAAACGAAGCAAGTGGTGATCTTCGACCTTGGTGATTTTATGTATGTGATTTTGGGAATGACCCTGAGGAGGAAATGCAGCATTCGGGTGCATTCGGTATTCCAAAATTGGTTTCCGTCTTCTTCCTGCGGCAACTTTCGCCTCCAACTTGACTTTCTGCCGGGGATGGTTTGCAAACAGAGCTGCCAATGCTGAATGTCAAATGACACTAATGACACAGGGTTTTTAAGGGTAAACATGTTTTGACAATTGACAATCGGTGACAATTGCTTGACCTACAAGTATTATCATTTGGGGCCCTTTTGGGGCCAGCAGCCAGGATGACTTCAGCCCTGGCCTCTGAACTGAACTCCCGAATTTTGACCTTGGAGTACAGGTTTGCTTTGTGTCCATGTTTCTATTCAGGTGAATGTGTTGGGAATTAGGTTTTAACATTGGATAGGGAAGCTTTCGAACAGTCGAATAGAAGGCTCTGCAAGAACCAGTGACACGACCACGCAAGACCTTCAGCCACTCGAAACCAAAATGCCACATCTGATCACTGCAATACAAACTCCTCAAATGTTTCCCACAAACAATGTGGTAGCACTCTTGCCAGCTCCTACTGTACTTCATTGTGCTACATCATAGCTCTATGCCATTGCAGGCTGTTGTGTTGGTAGAACCCCCTGAGGCAAAAGACTGTGCCGCCCACGACCATGTTCTTAGCCACAGATTTTGGGGCTTTCCTTGGTCAGCTTGCTTGAAATCACACCACCTCACAATGCATGGAAATCAACATTAGACACCCCAAGAAATAGGATGATTCAGTACCCAAACCAGCTGATTCACATGTTTGGTTCAAGCACAATTTTTGCGAACCCCTACTTTTTGCCAATATGTTTGCCAACATATGTAGCATAAGCATACAGTTTTGCAACACTTGGCTGCTCATGGTCATAGCAACACCAGGCTGATTGTGATGCCAAGGCTCTGCTCATGGTCATGGGCTGCTTCAGTGATCAGTTCTTCGGCTGGACGGTAGGAGCTCTCGTGCAAACTGCAGATGTGAACTTCCCAATCCATTTTGAGGAAGTAGTCCTTGAAGGAACTTGAAGTCTGTGCCAAGGCCAACATGCTGTGATATACTGTGATATGCTGTGATTTTGGTATTTTCATGTATTGTGTTCATGTATTTTCCAAATGATTTTAATACTTTGCCATTCTGGGCAAGGATAACTCTGGAATTTGTCTAAGTTTTGTTTCCATCGTTTTGCCGGGGAAATATAGACAACATCTTCTGCCATGGTCCATGTTGGTATAGCCAGCATTTGCAAGGCTAGAATAGAACTTCAAAGGAAGCGCCTTGTCTTGCTGTTGAACCCATATGTTGTCGCAAATGCCTACACCAAAATTAGGTATCAATTCATCTTTGCCAACCACAAAAAAAAGCAAGACCCCCTTTTCTTGCTCCCCAGTGCTCTGAAACCGGGGTACGAAATAGTGCAAGGGCTTTTTATTCGCCTCAGAAAGTTGAAATGCTGGCAAAGGCAAGCTGAAACATCACAGCGGTCCTACCCTAGCTCTTGCCTTGCTTCACCCCAGCAAACGATGTTATCCAATAATATGTGTATACTGTGTATGCAATGCAATGTAATGTACTGCAATTCAATGCAACGCAACGGAATGAAATGGACTGTAATGTCATGTAATGCATGTATGTTCCCTGTCTGATAAATGTATATAAAGTGATCCAGTCGATATTTGTACAAATAGAATAACCATGTATAATCGTGCATAATATGTATATATATATGCATGTATATAAATTAATTACTATATATATATATATAATTTATAAATTCTATAGTTGTGCAGTAGTCTGCATCCAATTCATGCAAGCTCTTCACTACCCGGCGACCATTCCTTGGGTAGCAAGGTGCATTGAGCTGGATCACGGAGGCATCTCCTTCCAACTTCAACACGTCAGTAATCAGCGCCCGCCTCAGGAAGGACTCTGGGCGAGTCGTCAACCGATGGGATTAGCAGGTCGAAACTCTCAAGATTTTCCATGTACCCTCTGGTAAACTAACATGACAATGGAAAATCACAATTTTCAATGGGAAAATCCACTATAAATGGTCATTTTCAATAGCTATGTTAGTTTAGCAGAGGGTAATTTCTGCAGGTCGAAATGCCAACAATGCAAGATACAAGTTGATCAAGTTGGAGTTTTCCAATGTTTTCCATCATAGCATCCTTCCACGGATCATCTGGCAGTTCTCCGGTAAATCCCGGAATCCCAGGAATCCCACACTCGTCACCTGCCAAGATGCAACACTGGAGCTTCAGGCACCTCAAACAACTCCTTCGTGGCCAGTTTCTGCAGGGAGTCATCTTCCTGGGTGGCCGCCAGAGGTTAGTGCCTCACCGTGCCTGAACCGCCTGAACCCAGTGAGCAAGTGCTCCATGTCAGCTGAAGGGAAACTTGACAGGAAACTTTACAGGAAACCCTTATGTTTGTTCCCCTGAATTCTGGGGGGTTCTCTGCAGGTTTTCCCTTCAACCAATCTTGGCACGTAATTAATGACCAGTTTTTGGTGGGTGAACTTGTCCAAAAACTGTGCATGACTCAGCAAACTTACGATGTTTGCCTTTCAGAATTTTTGAGTGAGCTCCGCCATACCTCTATCTATAGCATGCTTGAAAGGTACCAGCAGCTGATCATCACCCCTTCCAAACAAATCTGCTTGGGACAACCTTTGAAGAACAAACTGGGCACTCCAACAACAACACAGCAACAAGTTTCCAGATTCTTTGAACTTTCTGCACTTTCCGATGTATCTTTCTTTCCCATATCTTTTCATCCTATGGAACTTCAATGAATTTCATGGACAGATCCACCATGCCCAAACGCGACCCAGCATCCAGCTGTACGGTGGCCGGCACCAGCATCTCTCGCAGCCGTTGCTGGCACCAGCGGTCCACCTGTTTGGCTTCCCACATCTGCCGCGCCGCTGGGCTCGGGCGACTTTGGATCCTGAGATCTGTTGGGGATGTAACATAGTACAGCCTGCATCTGTAAGTATATACTGTATATACATATTATATGATATTATATGTATATCAATGAATGTCATAATATATATATATAATTGTACCTACATAGGGATCTAGGCCCCTAGGCCCAGCTAACAAATGGTTGCATTGGTGAAAGGCTTCATGTTAAAGGAAACACCAGTGCATTTTTCCAAAACGCACCCGCCCAAGTGGAGCAAAAGCCATGCATGGCCATGCACATCAGGCAGCATCTGGTAATATTCGGCAGTATCCCACCTGACGTCTCAACCTAAAAGTCGCTTCATTAAGCAAACAGGTATGTGGTTGAGACATGTGCAAAGCATGAAAATCATCAGGGATCATCTTCCAAGCCTAGGATGGGAATAAAAACAAACATGAATTTGTCTGAAAATAGGGTATACATCCCAAAAGCCAGTAGTTTTTCATTCAAAAATCATGTTTGAATCACCAACTGGCCACATGATCCCACATGTTTTTGGGACCCCAATTGGTTGCCCAGTTTCTGCTGACGATGGTTCAAGCGTTCTTGTCGCCATTGATCATCCTCGGCCCATTGCTCTTCCTTTTTCACCTGAGAAGATCGCAAGCGTCGCAAGAGGATGGTCCGTAGCCATGCGAACTTCACCATGCTTTTCACTAAGAACTGGCTGGTGGTATACCTACCCCTCTGAAAAAAATATGAAAGTCAGTTGGGGTTATGATTCCCAATATATCTATATATATATATAGAAAAATACAAAATGTTCCAAAGCACCAACCAGAGAAGTATTTTTTGTACCAATGAGCTGCCACCATCCCCCTTGTAAGTATCTTGTTGCGGTGTTGACCGTCGGAAAATGATGAGCCTCAGAGGTTCCCACCATTTTTTAATATACGGAAAACAATTACCCATTGAAAGAATCACAGAAGAAACACACTGTCTGAATGAGGCTTATGATAGGTTTATGCTTTTGATTCATCGAATCCGAATTCTTCAGATTCTTGGATCATCATGGCCATGATTGACTTTTGAAACATCCATCCATCTTTTTTTGGCCATTCCCCAGCCCCGGCCTTATCCAAGACCTTCTTCTTCTGGTCCAATTCGCTGCTCTGTTCCATGGCCCGGGCTTCTTTTTGCTTCATGAACTCCTGCCATTTGAGGCATCAGAAGTGCGAAGAACGGTGAAAGCCAAATGGCCACTTGACACAACTGACACATTTAACCGCAAGGTTTATGAATGATTGCAGAGCATCTTTTTCTCCTCTGATCTTAGGTTTTTGTTTGCCTCAATGGATTGGAAAGGAGTGGAAAACTGTCTTCATATAAAGCAATGCATAGCAATGCTGGTTCCTGCTCCTATGCAGCATCGGCCGGGCCAATCTGTCGCTGTCTCAGAAAAATTCCAATCAGGTCAGCGGAGTCAGCAGGCCAAGAAATCCGAGACATCTGCCGTTTGGTTGGTTGAGGTCATTGGTGGTTTCAGGATCTGCCAAAAAATGTTGATTTCAAAGCCACAGCCGTCACTTTTGGATAGACATTGGTCAAGTACAAGTTGTAAGTGAGGTTTTGAACATGATCATTCCATGCAATCAAGCCTGGCTACCTGAATAAATATCATCCATGTGGGCTGTGAGCCACATTTGGGCATGTGAGTTGCAGTACCAGCAGCAAAACTTCAATCTCAAGGTGCCCCCAACAAACTGCTGAGATCCTCGAACTTCTCGGTCTTTGGTTTTCCATTGGATTCCTGCAGCGGCCAAACATGGCCAAACCACAGATCCACATGATCAACTCAATGGAATGCTAAAAAAGGTTGGTTTTCTGGTGTGCACCTCAAGTACGTATGTTGAAAACAGTGCTGGAGATAGGCGCTTGAAGAAGGTGTTGCCGAAGAAGAGTCTTGCATGGTTTTAACGATTGATTTCCTAGGATGTGTTCTACCTACCTATTGGAGGCAGTCTAAGACCTCTTCCATGATCTTTGCCATGTTTCCATAGATTTCATCCATTTGTTCACTCATGGCTGTCCAACACCTTCCCCGCCGTGTTGAACCATGGTAGCCGAACATCTGCTGTGTCAAAACCCAACCACTTCGAGACAGCCAACCAGCCGGCAAGTATCGTCAATGATGTTCAGGAGCTGCTGCTCCAACTCCAGTGTTTGCTTCCTCAGGTTGATAGACAGCATGGTTGGAAGCCGTTCATGAAGCTCCATGACAGGGCAATGAATCTGAAACATCAACAGACTTAGCACATGGAAGCATCTCAAAAGAGCAGGCGTCAAGAAACACCGTATGAGTTCTCTCATATATTTGCTTGTCCAAATCCTTCAAGCAAACGTTCCTGGATAACCCTCTCTCACATCAGCATTCAGGAGGGACGCACGGTACAGGGCCGGGATCAAACTTTTGCAGCTTTGGGTCTTTTCTTCTTCCTTCTTTCTCACTGGCTCCATCTCTTTTTCCTCGGCTGGTGCAAGTCTCAGGTGCTGGGGCGAACTGGCATCGCCAAGTGGCTCGAGCTGCATAGAGCATCTTCCCTTTGGACAACTTTTCAAAAGCCTCAGTTGGAGATGTGTCCTGGAAACGCACGTGATGGCATTGCTGCAAGCACATTGATTGGAGGAATCACAACAGAAGCAACTATATATACTGTACCCATTCATAGAATGGGGGGCAGGGGTGATCGGACAAAGTGTTGATCAAACTAAGCTATGGATGGAGCACCTCAAAATCTTCCATTCATTTTCCCCATCCAGGTGGCCCAAACATATCAAAAAATCAAGGGTAAATCCTCAAATTTATTACTGTTATCTTTTTGGACAAGCCCATAGCCGCTAAGTGACGCCCTCCATCTGCTGCCGTTCTTCTGCCTTTCGCAGCCTCTCCTTTCGCCGTTCCAGTGCTTGGCGCTGTCGCTCTTGGCGGTCGCTGTGCCCGCACTCCTTCTGCAGGAATCCTCAGGGCTGAAGGTGGCAAGGAACTGAAAGATACCATGAGAAGAAAAATGATATCGCACTCTAAAGTATTGCAAGCATAGTCTTTGAAAAGAATATTCTGGCAGCAGTGCCATTCTGACTGGCACTGAATTACCGCCAAGATTCTGCATCGTATATGGTCAATTAATTCTTTAAAATGATACCTAATTCCAAGACCCAGATCTAGGTAAGTACGTCTCAAAATCTGCAGCCGGAAAGTCATTTCTCGGCCTCAAGCCAAACGAAACCAATCACATCATTATATGCTACAGTATTATAGGATTCAAATTGGGTAGCGGGACCGGGATTGTCATCAAGTGAAGCATCTAGCCAAATGCCAAGGTTCCACCCCAGGCGGCTTTTTGCTGTTTGTGCTTCTCTGCTAGTTGGCTCTTCACCACGGCCAATTCTTTCAACACCTTTGCATGCACGTCTCTTCACTGAAAAATGGAAAAATGGGCTGATCTTGTATTCTGGTTGTGCACAATGAAAGGAGCAAAGGTTTTGGGCGGGAGTTGGGCCTATAGAATTACGAAAACCAGCTGGTTGCGCACATGACACCAAGGGACATGCAGAGATGCAAGCATCTTTTCCAACTGGTGGTCCACCCATGTCCACCAGCAATCCCATAAATATACCCTCTGGTAATTTAACATATATAGCTAGTGAAAATGGCCATTTATAGTGGATTTACCCATTGAAAATGGTGATTTTCCATAGCTATGTTAGTTTACCAGAGGGTAATGCATATGAGTCAATTGCGGTTCGCATCCCAGGTAGGGACAGAACAGAATAGCTGAAACCACCGCAGGAAGCCCCCTGCCATCCCCTGCCTCTGCATGGTCAGGTTGAAGTCGCAAGACCGCCTTCCAGCTGCTCGCTGGATGATTGTGGTGGTCTAAGGTGGGAACCTCATGAAAATACATGAAAACTAGGATGAAGTTGCACTTTAATAGCGCTGTGCCGCCATCACCTGTTCTATCATGTGGCAATTTGTCGTTGATTCTTGAACTCATTCCACTACCAGAAATACAAATCCTTACAATTTCCGAACACACAGGTTGCAGTTGAAACCATGGTTGTGGAGCCGATAGAGGCCTGGCCCTAATACCTGAACCGCAGCAAGAAAAAACAACAGAGTCTGAACTGGTAAACCAGCCACATGGACATGGGTAAAAACTGGGGGCAACGAAAAATCGGAAGGCCTGCGCTACAATCTACAAATTGCCAGCCTGAATGAACAGTTCCCCTTTGGGGCAACATTGCTGATTAACATTGCGGAATGCGCTGCTGCCACATCTGTTTACCAAAGGTGGACAAACCAGTTTATTCTGTTGGTCAACTCCAGCTTGTTTTTCTTGACATCCCCTATTTCTTACCGGCTCACAGTCAATTGACTCTCCAAATTTGGGATGTCACTCCATAACCAATCAATAATCAATTGGGAATAATCCACAATCCCCACCATGATAATCTCCATCATCAAACCCCATTGGGCAAAAAATATGACATAAACTCCATCATCAATCCATTCCTCGTACTAGACCCTTTGGTAATGTGCTACATAGCTATTGAACATTTTGTTTGCCAGGGCCTCCAGAGGTTTTGCCCTACACTTCGCCAATGCTTTGCAAAGGCCGAAGCACACATCACAAGGAGATCATAGGAGACTGCTATGAAGCCGACAAATTCAACAACTCTACACATCTCGCGCCTCTGCTACATCCTTTGGCCATGCTCTGCTACATCCATTGACCATCTTGGGAATTGTGGAACCATATGGCAGTCCATGCCGAAGATACTGTGATCGAGCTATTGAACATGGCCATTGAAATAATTGATTTACATTGATTTACCCAGTTTACCCATGAAAAATGGTGATTTATGGTGATTTGCCATGGTTTTCTGTTAGTTTACCAAGGTCAATCCATCCATGTGTTGCCCATCGCCGCCATCGCCTGCAAGTCCTCCCGCGCTTCCTCCGATTCTCCCAGGTTCCGGCGCGCCACAGCGCGGCGGAAATGGGCCTGGAAACAGCTACCCGGCTGGGGATGGTTTATACCACCCATTTCTGGTGATCTGGGGATGTTTCACACACACACATATGTATATATAGGATTTAAACATATATATAATATATAATATATATATATTATAGGATCTGGGGATGTTATATAATATGTGATTGGATTTGAAAGGATTTAACACATGATATTTTTGGCGTGATATAAGCGAAGATGATGAACAAGAAATACAAGAATAAACCGCTGGATAGACGTATCCTATTCTTGGACAACCCATACTTCTATATTTTTCTCAGAAACATGCCATTGTTATTTTAGACAACATATCCATTCAAGTTGCAAAGTTCCAATCACATGTGTAGCAAGCACATGCATATATATAGATATATATATGTGTAATAAATAATGATATGTCAAAGCAACATGAACGGCCTGATGCTCCCAAGTTCAGCAACATGAATCGGGCGTTTCGCGCTGCGTGCGCCTTCGCCTTCAAAGCGGATGGCACCGCATTCTTCGGAAGATCTGCAATGGTCAAGGCTTTGGTGCCTCGGTGTTAGGCCGATTAACCACCCATGTTTAAGGGCTACTTGGGTGGGTTAGTAACTGGGTTTTAACCCATTATATACCCAACAATAGATACCTTTTGCAAGTATTAATATAACCAGTAATCCCATGGCCCATCTAAGTAAGGACTACTTGCGTGCTTTAGTCCTTCAACAACTTTTTAAATCTAAAAAAATGCGGAGATGTTCACGGCCAAGGTACACACATCTTCTGCCGAGGTGTGCTCCTCCAATCGAAGGTAGACCTTGTGTGGAAGTGATCCGCTCAGCACCAAATTGTGCCGAAATTGGCTGTTTGAATCGTTCGGCCCAGACCACAACATGGGCAACACAAACATATTGATGAATAGTTGACCTTGTTTGAACCTCCCAAAGAAATGCTTTTCCTGGTCTCTCAATACATTTTCCAAGCAGGGAAGCCTGAGCCAAGTTCGAGTACAACGGCATCAGCAACTCATTCCGTTCCTTGCGCCGTGCATCCACCAAATCCTCCACGTAGACAATGGCTTCACGGTAGTAGTCTCGAGCTTCCATGAGGTTGCCAGACTTGAACTTTTCCTTAGGTGTTACAGTACCATACAGTACCCTTAAGTTCCATCACTAACAGCTGGCTGGAAAATCATGGAAAACACATCTTTTTGATAGATATATAAATCATCAAACTATATATGGGCCGTTTTGCATAGCTATGCTATGTTGAATTACCGGAGAGTATTACCGGAGGGCCGGAGGGTATTAGAAAAGGATTGCTCAGGGCCAACCAGGGGTGCTGGGCGCGCACAATTCTTCAATATCAAAGCTTCGTCTATCGCTTGCAACTGAAACATATTCTTGTCACCGGATACCCTGAGCAGAAACTTTGCTTCCTGGAGCAGAGGTAAAGAACGTTCTCAAATGGATGCGAGCCGAGCCTATAGCTGAGGATGTGCAAATCCTAATCAGGGGAAATGCATGGAATGCCAAAAATTCCAGATCTTGAACCAAACCAAACAATGATGACCCGCCTTCAATTGCAAAAACAAAAGAAAATCCCAGCAAAATGCAAATGCCATACGCATGCACAAATTGGATCATTTTTTGGGCATAACCAGCTCTACCAAATGGTATCCAAAAGGGCACATACTTTGTTCATGTAGCTGTTGTCTGCATCCGCTTGCGGAAACTTTGTGGGGCCACACTTGCTCTAATGGATCAAAGGGGCTCCTTGTTGAAGGAACTAGTTTTCCCAGCCAAACCGTCACAAATACTGCACTCAACCTCTTCCAGTACAATACCTTTGCCACAACAATAGAATCAGCTGAGATTCATTGCCAATGTTCTTGAATTCTCCAGCTCTCTGTACGCGCTCTGCATTGCCCATAGCCTCTTTCCGTGATTGCCTTGGGGAGATGCCCCAGAAATGGCAGCATGGTCCATGTTGAGAATTTGGATGAATTTGGTGTGTTTTCATGATCTTCCTGACTCCAATCGGTTCTTCCACCAAGGTGCACTTTGTCTTTCCATTCCTTGGCAGGTTGAGGGAAGTCATGGATGCGCAGCCATTGTGCCGGACTTCCTTCTTATTCAAGTGATGAAAGAAACCATTCAAGATCGGGATTGGGAAAGCATCCTTGAACCACCGGCTAGCATTACCATGACACTTTGAAACAGCCGTTTTTGAGTCGGGTTTGTTGCTTTAACAGCCCCCAAGTGCTGATTTGTTCAACCAGCGTCTCGCTCCCGCTTCTCCTGCTGGTACTCCTGGAAAGCTGGGAACGGATTCGTAGAGCACAGTGGAACGGTGGAAGCTACCAGAAATGGATCGAAATGGTGGAGCAGTGGAGCATCAAGGCCTGATTTTCACAGTTCAACTCTGATGCAATACACTTGGAAACTGTTCAAAGATACTGATGATACTGTATCTAGTTGGAAAAACTCCAGCCGGTGCAGAATACCTTCTTGAGAAATATCAAAGACATGGCATGTGGTTGTGAAAAAAAACGGTCACCCGCTTACCCCTCTGACTAAACCAACCGGCGGGAAAAAGCATCTCCCCGGCACCTCATCAAGTTGCAGTAGCTTAAATAGCATTAAATAGCCACCACGAAGGCATGACTTTCCAATTATTTCCAATTGATATTCCTTTGGTGGCTTTCCACTTCCATGATTATTCCAATTTATTCCATGGTTGTTTCAAATAGAGCATCCACCACAGCATTGCAGCATATTGCAGCATCCTTCTCCCCGGCTGTCCTGGAAGGTACGCGTCATCCCATGGGGCCAGTGCTTTGGGCCCCGGGTACTGTAACACCCCGCCGTGTGTGATACTGCAGGTTTAGGCACTTCAACCACTATCATCCATTATCCTGGATTTTTGCTAGGGAGATGAGGTGTAGCCGTGTAATGCCGTGTAGCCCCTCATGTTGGAGGATCATCTCTGCTGGCAGTGCTTTCCATGCTGTTCATGCTGTTTGAACCATGCCCTTTGGAGGCGTGTTGGTGGCCGATCTCACTCCAGCATCATTGGCTGGTTGCAGCTTGAGACATCACCCAGGCAAAGAAGGCCGACATGGGCAGGTCGAATGCTCGTGTCAATGTTGGTTGGGCTACCTTAAGCGTCATTCTTTGAATTTGCCTGGCCAAGAATGCGGCATGAACTTGCTTCTTTACAACCTGGCAACCTCATATCGGCAAACATAAGCAACTCATAGCAACTCTTTGATTTTTAAACCTCAGCGGAGTTTCAACCTCGCAAAAGGATCCGAATGCGGCTCGACGCCCGCCGAGTAAAACCACTCAAGGTCTTGCATTTTGAATGATAAAACGGCCTTTAATTGCCATCAACATACCACATGTCGGTGTTGGGAAAAGCTTCAATTCTATTCAATTTTCATAGTTATATAGTATGTTATTATAGTTAAATTCCAATTCTGTAATGCTTTATTACATTTTATATCCCAATTCAATTGGATAACTCTATATATATGATCCGTAGATATAGCATGTTGCACCCATTCCGCCGCCAGCTGGCCGTTTTTTTTTTGCTGGGCTCTATCCCGCCGGTGCTCGCGGCGGAGTGCGGCGACCGGCACCACAGGATACCATAGGATACCACAGGTGCCACAGCGGCCGCAGGTATGCCATAGGTCACCTGGCAGGGAGTGGCTTTCATCTGCCAAATAGCTGGGATATGGATTTTGAATGGTATATAAAATGGGAACTTAACTAACCATAACCATCAGTGTATCGGGTTTTTAAAAGCTGGTGATATTAATCACAGGCACTTTTAAATATAACAATTACATAAATATACACTAAATTATAATATAATGCAAATTAATCAGACCAAAACCAGGTATTTTGTAGCTTTTGATCCATTCCAAGATGGTGGAGACCCCAGGATTTCTCATCTTCCCAATAAAAACTTGCCTGTTTGGGTTATGACCCCAAGCCATGGACTTAGCTACTTCATTGCCGGATGGATTTCATGGTAATTTTATGTAATTTTGACATTGTTATTGCAGGTTGTGATTTCCACTTGCACCGATGTAATGTTACATACCCATACAGGCCCATACATACATATTGTGCTCTCGAATCAGCGGGTTCAAAAGAGAGTCAACCACTCCTGTTCTCCGGAGACCAGACTTCATCAAAGTCCTGAAATGTCCTGAAATCCGCCACCCAATTATTCGCCCCTCTATGATTTCCTCTTTCCGTCCCTCCATTCGCCCTTCCAAAAATCACTGAATGTGTATAACCTGCGTGGCATGATCTTTTTCGTGTTTCAATCGACTGTCAACTTGGACCCATTCGGGCTCTAAAAAACAGTGCCTCTGGCAGCCGACTGCAGATCAGAAATATGTTCGCAGAAGAGTTCGATAGAAAACCCTGATCAGCCTTTGATAGCTGTGTAATTATCACACCTGGGACAGTGGTGAAAGCTGGACCATGATGCATATAGAGATCAAAGACCTGGGTTGGTCACGCGGCAGTCCTTGCAACGCAAGAGATTGACTGGATAGCATCTATATATATATATATATATATAGATTTAACAGAATAATCGATGTAGGATTTTGATGGCCGAATTTCCTCAAGCGGCAAATAGTTGCCGCTCCGATTGTTTGATATGCTTCTGATTTATTCTGCATCTGAGACGTTAAGCATACCAAGTGCAGTTGTTTGCTTTCAAAATTCAAAATTCTCATCATTTCTTGCTCTGCGCTCTTGGGGCTGTCGTTCGATATTCTGCGGTGTGCAGTTGTATTCACGCCCACCACTCCGACGACAAGCTTTGGGCAGTTGTTGACAATCAAACCGCCTTGAAGGGTTATGAAGAGCCAATCTGCCCTTGAAACATCTTAAGACCTAGCATGGACCCCCAAAATCGGCTAGCCATAGCTATCTAAGGAATATTGTTATTATCAGTTATCAGTGCAATTTTATTGCAACATAAAGTTGTCATGATAATCATTAATTAATTATTGTCGTCCTCGTCATCGTCATTGTCATCGTCATCATCGTCATCATCATCATCATCATGCTGCCTTTTGTCACTAGTGGACATGCCCTTACCACAACATCTGCCCAGGCTTTATGATTTTTCGCACAAAGAAAAAAGGTCCTTATTGATCCACTCACGGCATGAAACTTACATGACATGGAGATGGGTTGGATGTTACATTTGCACATGGCTTACATTATAAATTGGTGACGTGGTATTGGTTGCCTTCCCAAGGAGTTCCATGTGTGGATCATGACCTGCGTTTGGAGTCCTGCACCGTGATAGCCAGATAGCATTCACTGGCTGTACATGCAAAATCCGATGGTTTGAGCAGTTTGCCGCTGGTGGCAACTCAAAAACCGTCCCATACCCCCATCATTCAGTGTTGCTTCGTAGGCTTCGTGGGGTCGACCCGGAATCTAACCACTTTCATATGTCGGCCACCTTGCTAAATAAGATGATTCTGAATGAATTTGAACCGGATATGAATTGAACTCCTGATACGCAGCACTAACATGGTGTATATAGTTGATACCGTTCTTCAAAACGTGACACTAAACTGAACAATGATATCCCTCGACTCTGGCGGTACATGGCGCAGCCATCTACCATGGTTGACAGGAGAGAGCGCAGTTCCCATGCCAACTGTGCAAATACTAGGCGAAGCAAGGACATTGAGTGATGCCCAGTCTGTGCAAAATAGGGTCATGTGTGACTTTTATATTTATTTACATCAACATCCGTTTATCTATGTATAGCGACACGCACAAATCTGCACATCTTTTGAAAGAATGACTTGGACATTTCCAAACTTGGACTTTCCATCCACGAAATTTGATTATTTCAAATTATTTCCACATAATGTTCCTGGGAAATCAGCCTGGTGGGTGTTGGTGGGATACCGCCTGTCAACATGAAGTGGTCCTCAATTTGAACTTTGCCCCCGAGCATTTCGGCTGCTGAAAGCTGGCCCCAAAATAATATATCAACTAGTTGTCTGTTTGCAACATTTCTGCCCTGGTGGATTTCTTGAAAGGGGCTTGGAAATGGTTGTTTTCTGACTAATGTGGTCAGTTTTGTATTTGGATGTATTTCGCACCTTTGTGGCCCATTTTCTTTCTGAAAATGGGCGTTCTTACATTGAAACGGACAAATCGAAACAAATGGACTTACATCACACCAGAATCTGCCCGACAGAAATCTACAACAAAATCACTCTCAGGCTCACTATGTCAGGCATGTTTCGTGATAAATCCTGATCCCAGCGGCCTCCGTCTGTAACTTGAAAAGTGATGGGGGGTCATCTCCGAACTTCCGGAAAGTACTTGCTCACCGCCGTGTTTGCACAAAAACCCTGGCACCGTGCCAGTACAACTAGTGTATTTCCAGGCATGCCCCGGAGATCGACGGAGAAGTCGGCTGCAAGTTGCCATGACAGTTGTTGAGGAAAACCAAGGGTGGAAAACCCCAGATAACCAATGAGCACACTACCCCTTCTTATTGCATCACGACTAATCTCCTCCAAGTACCTAACGTGTGACCCTTCGGGTCTCCAGGGAAGCGGAGCTGATACAACCTTGATTAATAAAACAAAATGAAGAAAACAGAAGCACCTATACGGATTCACGACCAATGAGTTTGTCCAAAACAGTGACCTACCCAAAGGTTCACAGTCAGAGTCTATCACAATATGTTCACATTGAAATTACATGAAATTTAGCACAGGTATATTTTGTATATTTTGATATATGGCCAAAATATGCCAACATGTTCACATCGGGAGGTCCATCATCCTCCGGGAGTTGCTCTGCGCATCACGACGGCTCAAATTCTCTCCGACGAGACCTCAGTAGGGGCGGCTTGTCTGGTTGGGACCCTGGGACCCCAAGCGTGTGCTCATCTATATATCTATATATCTATATCTACCTCTAAGATCAAAATAGTCTAAAAATAGTCCTAGGAGTAATTTAGTCAAAAATAAGGATTTAGTCTTTAGTCGCTGGAGTAAATTTACTCCTTTTAGGAGTAAATTGGAAGACTAAATTTACTCCTAGGACTAAATTTACTCCCCGGACTAAATCGATATTTACTCCTTTTTGTAATGCAAACTGCATTATGAACAATGCAAACTGCATTATGAGCAATGCAAACTGCATTATGAGCAATGCAAACTGCATTATGAGCAATGCAAACTGCATTATGAGCAATGCAAACTGCATTATGGGCAATGCACTTTGCATTGCTTTGCCTGAATTTACTCCCGGAAGTTGAGCCTTGATTTACGTAATTTTTTGGGTAGTAATTTACTCCCCCGGGAGTAAATTAGTCGGGGAGTATTTTTAGACTATTTTGATCTTACAGGTATATCTATATATCTATATGTAAATATATATATATGTATATATATATATGTTTATATATCCACAAAGACCAGATAAGACAAGCATGAAAACTTAAACCGTGAACATGCTGGCAAACATTGAAAAGGATGAATGATGCATAACAAATCTGAGAACATGGGACGCGTGTAAGCCAATGGCATGAGAAAACGGCTCTTTCACACGAAAAAAGAACAAATCCACTGCAAATGGCAAAGACCACTGCAATCATCCCGAGTCGATTGGGAGAAGCCAGCAAAACCACTACTGAGCATTGATATTCCCTTGAAACACCTTCCCATTTTTCGCCATTGGCACTGCTTCCACTATCCTGGACGAGTGCTGGAAGTACCATGCCTCAGGAAAATCACCAGAGATATTTTGTTAGGTAGATAAACAGACAAATAAAGATATATATATATAATTACACATCATATGTAAGTAATGGGAGTTGATCAAGAGAACCAATGACAGAGGCAACACAAGGTGACAAAACTAACAAGGTCGTATAGGCAACCGAGACCGGGGACCTGCGAAGTTTATCTTGAGGCCCCTTGTGTCTCTAAAACATTCTGAGGCTGCATGAAAAGCTTGAACTCCATGACAATTTGCCTCCAAATGGTAGGTTAATATAGTAAACCATCCCCGAACTCCACCATAAACGATCATAAATGGGTGGTATAAAAATGCATTTCACCGTCTCCAAGTAGGTAAACGATAGGTAAATTGTAGATTTGTGGTGTGAATCCCACATGCTGATTGCAAGCGACGAAGGAAGCATTGAGGCCATCTTCTGCACCATGTCAGCCATCCGCTTCTGCAAGTGGTTCACTTCTCGAAGGACCTCAGTTTGACCGTGAAGATTTTAAGCAGCTTGGAGATGCTTGGAGTCACTGGGGCTCAGCATTTCGACATCTGTCAACCGTAAAGTTGAGGATGACAATTTCTGAAATTTCCGTGGTTGAGACTCTTGAGACTCGGGATTGTGCACGAAACGAAAAATGGCTGCATTCACAGTGAAGAATAACAGTGGGCAACAACTTCATCTCATTACCCAAACCGAAACCAATCCGCATGGCTGCTGTCAACTATCCCTCCCCTTTTGAAAAAAAACAAGTTATATTTCCTTGAAAAAGCAATCCAAACTGCAAGCATGAAATGCGTTCTCGTGTCAATGTTTGCCTGTGAACATTTATCTTTGTACCGCAGGTGAATTTGACACAAGACAATCCAGTCACTGGCTCAGGCGTGGAGAACAGCCTTTTGAGATGTTCGTTGTGACTTTGGATGCGTGCCCTCATGGTCAAACCACATTTTTGCATCCAAATGGCCAAACCAGTTTGTCTCTGGACAATCCGGCGAATGTCCTCAAATGGTCCGTCAGTTTGGATCCAATTGGACCTGTCATGATCTATCCGTCAGCGTCCCAAAGAATCCAGTACTTGTCTGGTGAAGCTGTGAAGGGGATACAGAACCCCACACGAAAGGAGGAATGATGAGATATGCTGTGAGTGCAAATGTTCAATATCGCTTCATCAACAGTCAACATCAACACCATTGACACCATGTAACTGCTAAGAGCCAGTTGCAACCGTAGCCCCAGGCGGGGGCATGTCGTTGAACCTATGGCCAATGTGGCAACCAAACCTGAAATCAATATGAAAAGGTGGCAAAAGGCATCTGAATGCCTTGGTTCCCGGGATTTGCCCAAAGATGCCAAAGGACTGTCTGCAGGAAAATCCTAATTATGGTGGCTGCCCCTCAGAGATCTGTCAGGATCCCTGCCATCTCCGGACAAGCATCGCATCGAACATCAATGATGTCCTTGCCATCTCCGACACCGAGATTGACCGATACGCCCCCACATCACCATCCAAAACATCAAAAAACATTGGTCTCTTAGGAAATGAAATGGGCTACCTGAAGCCTCCTGAAGTCCCTCAGCATCCATCAGCGGAGATTTCATCCAGTGTGTGAAAACATCCCTCACTTCACCAACGGAAAAGAGGAATAGCCAACAAAACCACCGTCACAGGGAAAAACCTTCTTGGAAGGGAAAAAACCCTGCGCCGAAACAAGGGAGGACGGACGTATGCCGACGAATCCATGCCCCCCAGCAAAAAAGGATAGGCCGCGTCAGCTTCACCCCCGCTCCTGGTTGGAGATAGTGCGGCCCCCGCGAATTTTCAGGATCACTTCCAGCAGTTCTTCTCCTTGGGACAGCTGAAGGCTGGTGGTGGCAAAATTCACTGCGATATCACGATGCTGGGCATCTTGGCACGGCAAGATCCACAATATTCAAGCACTTCCCAGCATTTTGTGTGGAAATTGGGCTGAAGGCTGAAGACCGATTTCATGCTTATTTGCCAAAGTGTCATCCTGCCGGCAAGCTACAGTAAAGTTAGCTGTGCGGCTTGTGAAATTTAGGACCATATGTAGTAAAATGGCCTGAAACTTCGAAATGGCAGTAATCAGATTTGTCAGTGTAGTGGAGTTGCCCTATTACTATTGATGGATCTTCAGGACTGATTCTGTCAGCCACAGTGTTGCACGCACGCTAGTTGATCCTCTTGTCGTCTCGGAAATCACAAAGGGCGCATAGGGGAGGCGCAATAAATAGCGCCACTGGTCGTAATGACATTCACGTGCACAACCCCAATCTGGGTGTGAGCAAATAACCCAATTAGGACAGCAACAAACAGCGCTTCGCATCATAATCACAATCATCATCATCATCCAGCGTTGAAACATCCCAATTTTCCCCCTTCATGAGATCCAAGTTACTGGTCACTTCCTGCTCACGTCCTGCATCTTCATCTTCCTCAAAGAGATACTCCTGCAACAGCCAACACGCTACACAGAGAGTACGTAGACCGGTGTCCGGAAAGCACTAACGTTGCTACTGTGGTAATTTATCTTAACTATATATATATATAATCTTAACATATCTTAACTATGAATGGTAAATCATCATCGGCCAGTTTCATCCTTCCATAGTCACGTTCACTTACAGGTCATATCGATGTGTCTCTGATTTGTTTCCCCCAGAGCTGAGGCCCAGTGCTGTAAGATCGATGACATCTTCCGGTTTCACCTGCAGGAAATGGCATCATCTATCAATGGGGTAAACCCAATCATAAATACAATTAGAATTGGGATCCATTGGGGACATTCTGACCATTCGGTTTTTGATAAGTCACATATAGTCACATCCAATTGGGGGCTACTATTGGGTTTGTAGCTGTATGGAATACCAAATAAATACGCTTTCTATATAGCATGCTATCTGTTCGGCCACGAGCATGCTGAAGAGTGCAAACGCAGATGGTATTCTTAATTATATTCATATTAATTCAATGCCAGCCCGTCTCACAAATGTTCATCCTCAGTTCATAGACTGTTACATGAATCCTGCCCGAGTGGCCAATGAAAAGCCGCACACACTAAAGGAACAGCATTGCAGTCATTGCAAAAGTGAAAGATCTGGTTGCTCTAGCGCGCATGTTGCAACATGTTCACAAACCAGGATAAAATTTGAAACCTACAAGCCAGGCCCCTGTGAATTAAGCTGAGCCGTGCTGATTTTTGCGCCTGGAGTTCGGAGAGCACTTTCTGAGCCCGCTCATCTTCCACCACCGCTTGCAGCTCCTCTTCACCCAGCTAAATGACCGGAAAAATCGACCTGACTGACTCCTCGAAATCTGAGATATCTGAAATATATCAAGCAAAACATAAAATAAACAAATGCACAGGACTGGCAATCAAGTGCAAACCAAGATGATCGAACTGCTGTTGACTGATTTTTGTTTGATACAGTATCTCCTACGCACTGTGTATCACTAGATCCCGGGGTTCAAACAATTCCGGATCCCAAAATTCGCTAACATAGTCGGATTGGCCAGTGAACAACACTTTTGAACTTGCCAAGTCCCATGATGTATCTGTTTCATCCTGTTTCTCCCACAACCATAGTGACCCGCGTGCATCTAACAGGTTTCAATCATCGACGACGCGCCAGTCCTTTTTGGAGATATTTTCGTTCTTGTCCTGGTTCAAATGGCGCAATGAATTCATTCATGGGTGACAAAAGCTAAATCCGCGATCGAGATGGCCCCACCAAAAAACCCAAAATCACTTCAAAAGAAGAACAAAAATCACAAACATGCCGGTTTGCTTGGCATTTGTATTTTCAAATTCAATGAGGCTGGGATCTGAATCCATTGCTTGTTGTCAGATCAGTGTAACATCACGGCGGGACAGGTTTGCAAGGTGTCTCATGACAAAGTGGGAGCGAATGCGATCGCAACTACAACCCATAGATAGATAGATATATATTATATATATACACTAATATATAGTAATATATAGTAAATGTATACCAGGACGTCCTAGGGGGCGTGTATCAGCATCATGAAAATTGAGAGTTTTAAGGGGTGTTTCTTAGACACTACTTAGTAAGAGTTCATGGAGACACCAGAAGGCATGGGAGAAAAACAAAAAACCAAAGAAAAAAAAGTGGAGAACCAGGACCAACGTGGTCGGATTAGAGAGGACAAATTGAAAATTTGAAGAATCATATCCATCACCTTCACTTCCGAACAATAATCAATGTCTGGGGGCAGTGCTTCCATATTGTCAACAGGAGTCCTTGTATTCTTGGAGAAAAATCACACCTAAAAGCAAACGTGGTGAACTCATGTAAAAATGTACGCATATCTCATTATTTGTTAGTTCAAGACCTCAAACATTAAGGAGTGCTTTATACTCACCCCCCGTTAAGAACGCTTTATAAGCACCTGTTGGCACTGGCACATGCTGGTATATATTACACAAATATAATGATCATATTTTCATACATAATTTAGAAACAACAACAACCACCACCACCACCACAACCACAACCAAAACAACAACAACAACAGCAACAACCACAACCACAACAACAACAACAACAACAACAAACAACAACAACAAACAACAAACCACAAACAACAAACAACAAACAACAAACAACAAACAACAACCAACAACCAACAACAACCAACAACAACCAACAACAACCAACAACAACCAACACCAACACCAACACCAACACCAACACCAACACCAACACCACCACCAACAACAACAACAACCAACAACAACAACAAACAACAAACAACAACAACAACAACAACAACAACAACAACAACAACAACAACCACCACCACAACAACAAACAACAAACAACAAACAACAAACAACAAACAACAACCACCAAACAGCAACCAACAACCAACAACCAACAACCAACAACCAACAACAACAACAACCAACAACAACAACCAACAACCAACAACCAACAACCAACAACCGACAACCAACAACCAACAACAAACAACCAACAACAACAACAACAACCAAACCAACAAACCAACCAACCAACCAACAAACCAACAAACAAACAAACAACAAACAACAAACACCCAACACCAAACACCAAACAACAAACAACAAACAACAACCAACAACCAACAACTAACAACCAACAACCACAACAACATGCCCACCATTCCATATTTTATATAAATACGCATTTGCTGGGCTGATCTTATTCCCAACTAATTTAGCTGGGCAATTCTCCAGTCGAACTGACTGCCCTGAATTCTGTGTCCACTCCGGGTCCTGGTCCAAATCCGTGAGCATGGTGCGCAAGTGCTCCTTCATGAAGTCAATCGCCACACCTTCCTGCGGATCCAGAATGAGTTTTATCACTGCTATCAACCAGTAACCATGTTGCATAAAACATACTCGAATATATCAACATAGAATAAATTAATCCTAAATGGGGTTACTCACGGGATAATAATCCACACATATCCAGAAAATTGGACATGGTTTGTAGGCATAGAATATATTTAAATATACTTCATAATTTCACCTTATACCGGCCTATAGTTTTTCACTTTGTTTGGGCCGGCCATAGAGTTCACCCTGGCCCAGCCGCGCCCAGCGCGCCTCGTCTTCACGCTTCACTTCCGAAACCACCTCCGATGCGGCTTTGGTGCCGAGGAGATGCGAACCACGGGCCAAGGATTTTTGATGATGTTTTTATGATGATTCTAAAGATTCGTATTTGTGCAAGTCAAAAGAAAGGGGGAACTGATATGCTGGAAGGTGATGTTTCAGTTCTATTCATTTCTTCAGGTACCAGGTAGACAATCCGTCAATTCATTTTTCAGCACTAAACCCAGCCATTTCTGCTGCAATGTTTGGACATCTTCCCGTGGTTGCAAATGGAAGTAGTCCATATCATAAAGTGCACGGAAGATAGCAAGGTACCACCAAGATGAACCACGGGGCAAGCATCAGGCCCCATGACTATCTACAGCTCTAGACATGTTTGGAAGGCTGATAAGGCAGGCCTCACACAGGATGCCGATCAGCATATTCATGACCTGTCAGAAAGTCACTGGCAAACACGTCTCGCCTTCTTGTGGACATCCTGAAGATGTCATCTTCATGGTTCTCTCACATGAAACATGAAAAAAAGGTCTGGTCGGACGTCGCAGCGCAGATTAATTGTGGCCAAGTTGTTCCTTCTTCATTTTCGCTAATATTTACAGGGTTTGTTTGTGTGTGTGTGCGTTTTATGGAACGAGATTGTTCCCCACCTGCCAGGTGGGGGTATCTATAGATTGTTTAAGACGGGTGCAACTCCTTCTCCTTCTCTCCTCCTCTCTTCTTCTCCTTCTACCAGCTCGTCGTGACCGTGTTCATCAGTATGTACCAATGGACTCGAAGTGTCAGATGTGTCAGAAGCTCATCGCGAGCTCCATCCGCAGCTGGGCACGCATGGACCCGAGCCCTATCGCGAGAGCCTGATGCAGCTATGCTTGCGTTGACTCGAACACATGCCAGAAAGATCCATAAGGAATGCTAGAATAGATGCCAAATTAGATGTCAGAAAGAATGCCAAATAGAATGTCAGAACATATGCCAGATAGATAGGCTGCCAGATAGAATGCCAGAATATATGTCAGACGGACTGCCAGATGGAATGTCAGATTAAATTAAGTTTGGAATGCCAGATGCAATGTCGGAATATATGATGTCAAATAGAATGTCACTTGGTGGGGGGTCATTCGAGATTTTTTTTGTGAAAATAAAAAAATACTTTACTTCGTGTGATCCCCACCATGACATTTATACATTTTGTTACTGGCAAATCCTCTGGCATTCTATCTGACATATCTTCTGGCATTCGATCTGGCATATCTTCCGGCATTCTACCTGGCATATCTTCTGGCATATGTTCTGGCATTCTATCTGGCATATCTTCTGGCATATCTTCTGACATCCTATCTGGCATATCTTCTGGCATTCTATCTGGCAAACATTCTGGCATTCTATCTGGCATATCTTCTGGCATTTTATCTGGCACATCTTCTGGCATTCTATCTGGCATATCTTCTGGCATTCTATCTGACATCTTATCTGGCATTCTATCTGGCATATGTTCTAACATTCTATCTGGCATATCTTCTGGCATTCTATCTGGCAAATCTTCTGGCGTTCTCTCTGGCATACCTTCTGGCATTCTATCTGGCATATCTTCTAACATTTTATCTGGCATATCTTCTGGCATTCTATCCGGCATATCTCATGGCATTTTATCTGGCATATCTTCTGGCATTCTATCTGACATTCTACCTGGCATATCTTCTGGCAGTCTATCTGGCCGTTGAGGTCCAGCGGTGCACACTGAGCTGGGCAGGTCCCAGGTTGAGGTCCAGCGGTGCACACTGAGCTGGGCAGGTCCCAGGTTGACGTCCAGCGGTGCACACTGAGCTGGGAAGGTCCCAGGTTGAGGTCCAGCGGTGCACACTGAGCTGGGCAGGTCCCAGGTTGAGGTCCAGCGGTGCACACTGAGCTGGGCAGGTCCCAGGTTGAGGTCCAGCAGGTTGAGGTCCAGCAGTGCGCACTGAGCTCGGAAGTTGGCGAAGAGCTTGGCGAAGAGTTGGCAAGGCGGAAGTGAAGGCGGAAGTTGATGCAGACATGGTCGAGGAGAAACTGGAGGAGGAGGAAGAGGAGGAGGCGGAGGAGGAAGAGGAGGAGGAGGAGAAGAGCTAGCCGAGGAGGAGAAAAACAGCTCTGATAAAATCTAACAACCCTCACCTGGCAGGTGGGGAACAATACAAGCCGACTTGTCACCACAGTTCCGGGCCTCGAGCATGGGTCTAAAGCGAAACGCATTGTTTTCCAATGTTGACCGCTGTTTTGCAACAATAAAATTAATGAAAAAAAACATTGTCTAAAACCATCAATAGGATTCTTTTGCAGCATCATTTTTCCGTCGAGCTTTTTCGGACATTGCATTTCTCCTCGCTCAAATCAAGCAGCCCCCCTTTGTCACCTTTGCCAACAAGGAAATGTTTTGGCGCGTGTGCAAGGGCATGGTGCAAGCTCCTTGGGAAAGTGAAGAGCACAGCAGCAAGAGCATGCTGCAAAGTCCTTCGGAACGCGAAGAGAGTAGCATCAAAAGCGTGTTGCAAGTCATTTTAGAAAGTTAAGAGGGTGCAAATTATACACTGTACTTCAGACAGTTAAGAGCGTGGCACCAAGAGTGTGCTGCAAGTTGCGTGACGAAGCGAAGACAATAGCATCAAGAGTGTGTTGCAAGTTACCTGAAGAAGTGAGGAGTGTAGCATCAAGAGCCTGCTGCAAGTTAGATGAGAAAGTGAAAGAGCACAGCATCAAGACCGTGTGTTGCAAGTGCCTTGAAAAGTTAAGAACGTAGCATCAAAAAGGTGTTGGAAGTTACTTGAGAAAGTAAAGAGCGTAGCACCAACTGGATTTGTCAACACACTAGGGAAAACAATATTTATTAGCCCCCCAAGCCAAACGGCCCCCTCCCCTCTAGCGTGACAGGCATGAAGGAAAATGCACATAGAACCGCCGTGTCATGCAGAAAACCGTCTCCAGAAAACGCGTCGTTGCGCACGACCGATCGCAAAAACAACCATGGTGACTGGATTGCGCAGTCCACCTTTGAGACAACACATGCATTGATATTCCCAATATATACACACAGGTGTGTCTGAAAATGGTGGATTTGACATGATTTAACACCCCGAATGGCAATTTCAATAAGGAAACCATTGGATTCGGTGTCCGATTCATTGACCGATTGGGTGGCCCACGGTGACGTTGGTGAGCAAGACATACATGCTGAAGATGGAGATCATCCCCCAGCCCAAAAGCCAGGAGTACCTCACTGATGCTGATTTCATTGCAGCTTCAAACGGCTGGTCGGTAGGTGAGATTGGTAGTAGCCCCCCAGACACATCCAAACATATACAATATACATTACATACATGCAATATCATGTAATTGTATAAAGAACGAAGTGACATGGAGGTCAGCACAAGAAACGAGGCTTGCGACGATGGCCTTGGTCTCACTCTTGTGAATAGCCCAGCCAGCCACTCCCGTCCCAAAACCACACCAAGACGCCCATGCAACTCCAACGTCCTTGGCAAAGCTCAAACAGTTATAATATGTTGTCATCAAAAATGGGTCTTAAAACCCGTTGAATCTGCAAGAACATTGACACATTGGTTTCCACTTCTCAGATCTACCAGGTCTATCATTTGAATTCCACCGTTCCATTTGGCTTTAGAAACAACCACTTCCATCAAGGCACCGAAGCAAATCAACCACATCTTTCATGCCTGGGCCGTGGCTTCCAGGGAATGGAGCTGGTCTGTGTCTTTCTTTGGGGGGTCTGGAAGAATACATAGAAGACACATTAAACTATATTAAACTTGCAACTATCTGCATCAGTATTTCTATGAATGCACACATACAATATTTTAGATAAACAATGCATTTCTGGAGGGTATGTACTGGGATTCTATCCTCACATCCTCAAGAAGTAGGTTTCATACGGCTTCATGGTTTCATACTAACTCTACATGGTGGCAAAGTTAATGCCAGCCCCTCCGGGTTACAACTTTATCAAACATGTTTCTAAGCTTAAACACTGGATGCAAGTCTTTGGCATTTGGCTCATTTGACCGGATATCAAGTGACCACAAACATGCACAGTATATCATGTTAGATGCGTACAGTTTGTACAGGTCCAGTACATGCCAATCGCAAAAGGCACGCCCACTGGCCACACCGGCTGCCCCAGTGGCCATCCAAGAAGGTGCCAGAAAAAATCAGAGTCCACATACCTGGCAGTCCCCCGGCATTGCGGTGTGCTGTGAGGCATTCAACGTGATGTCTCACACTCAATTCTTTTCCCTGCTTCGACCATTTTGGTGGTTTATAGGATTTTATGGGGTTTTCCAGGTCTCTAAGTTTGGGGTCTTCAAGGGCCAGCTCTTGCAGCCAAGGGTCAAAGGCCCAGCGTTCCAAAGTGATCCTTATTAGGCGCTTGAAATTCACTATGGCCCCTGAGGAAATAGTGGATCTTCACAATCTATGACCCTGACCCTATGGAACCAAGTAACCTCTTCTCCCAGCAACAACCCGCCGACACCTGGTGAAATGCCCAAGGCACACTGATCTCCACAATGTTCCCCAGAAACATCAGCAGCACAATACCAAACCTAGGTTGACAAATGTTGATAGGCTGATGGGTTGTAAACTTAGAGGCCTTTCATGGGCTTGCTTTTTTTGAGGTTTGAAGGTTGACAACTTGCTTGATGGACCTGGTTGCTACATCCCCGATTCCTGAGTTTTTGCCACGTCAAAACTCCCATGATGCAGCTTGTTGCCAAAAAGAGCATCCCTTTCTACATGATTTTTGGGTTCGCCGAGAACACCAGGATTATGACCTGACTGCTTCACGCAAGCGTTCCAAACAAGGCACACGTAGTTCAGCAAACAAATTAGAAGCAAGGCAGATGAAACCGCCTGAGTCTCATGGTTGCTGTCAAAAGAATTTGCTGAGGCATGGCATGGACGAGAACTCTGGGGCAAGAAATCCTGCAAATGTCCAACCTTGAACAACACTACTACTTGGTGAAACTCTTTGGTTTATTTTGCTGTCTTGACACAGGTGTGTGCTCACAAGTTCCATCCAATTCTGTGCTATGTTGGGCAGCCGGTTTCATTCAACATATTTTCATTCTGATCGAGCCACTCTTGCAGCCACCCGCATCCCATTGATCAAGGTCCTTAATGCAAGGTGCAAGGCTGCTGACCGAATTTTCAAATGATCTTCACAATGCCGAAACGTGACGGTTGGTGAAGCCAAAAAAACTAGGCTACACCAGGCAGCACATCACCTGTACATGTTCTTCGGGGTGAAGAATCAATGCAAAACATTGGACATACACTGTTTGCTGGCTAAACAGTATTGAGTTGTAAATGGGATGACTGAGACTAAGGTGTTATCACAATACATTGCTCCGAAACAACATACTGTACCCGGCCGCTTGAACCTTCCATGTCCTGCTGTAACAACATTAACAACATTAATAACACGGTACAAAATCTAACTTCATTCTTTGGCATATCCCCGGAATACTAATAAAGAGGATTAAGTAGCCAAACTCTCTCTACTAATGTTGACTATCCTTGGCAAATGCTTCTGGGTATCGTGTAGCACTACTGACAAGCTGCATCCTTCTAGAATAGTTCAAAGCGATATAACATGATATAACTATAGAATATAGTTGGCGTATGTGTTTTGCTCTTTTGTGCCTTTCTGATGTAAGGTACCTATATACTGCGCTCAAACATAAAGTACCTTTCACCTATACACTCCTGAGGGTAGTCAAATGACTGTGAATTCTTATGGATACAGTAGCTGGAAAGGTCCGGCATCATATTCATATGTTCATCAGTATAAAGAGGGACGCACAATGTTCTTATCACAAAGCACGTCGAGTGCAACATGGATGGCATGAGACATCGTGAGACTGTACCGTACCTGAACCTGGCTGGTCAATGCTGAACATGCATCAAGGTCTCTTGCAACGTGGCAAAGACTAACGATTCCCTGTTTAGGGTATCGGGAGTGTGGTGCTCAAAACTCTTGAAATTGCTACCCTCTGGTAAACTAACATAGCTATAGAAAATCGCCATTTGTTATGGGTAAATCAACTACAAATTGCCACTTTCAACAGCTACGTTAAATTACCAGAGGGTACTGCATGTGGAAATCCAAGGCGCAACAGCTCTGGCATCTCCCGCAGCAAGCGCACCAATCGTGAGAGGCGCAACAAGCGAAGCAAGCGCAAAGGTCCTCTGCTGCGGTCTAACCCATCCCACGAAGGTTCATTAATTTGGGCGCTGGGAGGCCAATCATCATGGCCAATATGAGCAAATGCTAACAAAAGGATGGGATAACGATGGGATAAGGATGGGAGGGAACATGGGCTTTTGGGGTGTCAAGAAATCAGCTAGTTCCCCGCCACTTGGGTCCCTAATCCACGGGGATGAACATCCATGAAAATCCACGGTTTTCGTCCCCGAAACTGTGCCACTGCTGCGGCTTTGCGATGCTTTGCGTCCTTGCCTTTCCTGTCTTGAAATTCGGACAACTCAGCAGAGTTTCCAGCGATTTGATGGCAATCTTTCTAGGGCTCAGTAATTGTGGTCTAACCATGTCTAACCAGTCTCATCTAAGGTAATCACATGTAATCCTATAGAAAACCGCAAGACCACCTGATGCTGTCCTGTGGGCATTCCACCGCCTATGCCACCAATGAAAAGGACCACCAAGGTTAACACCTGGGAGGTACCAGGCAGATATGGCCAGATGGACAGGGAACGAAGATGCTACGCATTTGCCCTCCAAACACATGCTGAATGTGAAAGAACATGAAAACAATACTGGTGAACCACAAGCAAATGAATTGCTGGGAGAAACCTGTGGGATGTGCCCAGACATCCGGTGAACCACAGGCGCAAAGAGGATGACTCTTTGGGGGGACAGACAGGTTCGGATGTACTTCGATGCACCTTGCACAACACACATGCTTGAATATCATACTCTTGCATTGGCACCAAACCTTAGAGCATCATTACAGGGCCAAAAACGATCAAAGAAGAACAAAAACATGATTCCCTTCACCATCCTTCACCATCCTTCACCATTCATTCATCATCCTTCACCATTCATTCACCATCCTTCACCATTCATTCACCATCCTTCACCATTCATTCACCATCCTTCACCATTCATTCACCATTAATTCGTCATTAAATTCACCTTGATTCACCATCCTTCACCTATATCAAAGACCTCTAAACCAGCCAGGTAAAAACTCGGAACATCTTGGGGCTTCAGGTTGACGAGGCACCCAGGTCTCCGCCACCATGAGCATCACCTGGCAGTTGACCCTAGATCAGAAATCACTTGGTACCTGTGGTAACATGTGATTCACCTTGTACCCAATGAGATTCATGATGAACAGATTCATGATGATTCATGAGATAGTCCGAAGCAGGAATAAATCCGAATAATTTTCCATGCTTGTAAACCACCAAGTCTTCATTTACAGTGTCCAGCAGCCGTCCAACCATTCTGCCAAGGGATGCCAAGGGGCCAAGAGAGCGTCGAAAACGAACCACCTGGCGAACAGGACAGCAGGAATGGGATCCACACAAACGGTTGGTTATGTAATTGCTTTGTAAGAAGAGCAAAGCATTCTGCCTACTGGTGAGCTGCAAGATACCGTCGTTACGCTTGGTGGGTCAGCTGCGACTATCTTTCGAAGGACAAATGGCTAATGATGTTAAATGGCAAGGATCCCAGCACAACAAGTTTATACAATCATACCCTCGAGCTGGCCCTATAATGCATTTTCATATAAAATGACGTATCCAAG